CCTCTATTAGCCCTTTCATCTTTTCTATATCTTTTGAAAAACGAAATCATCCATATATTTCTAAAATAACATCATCAATAAGCATATCTTTGGATTGTAAATGTTTACTAATCGAATTTGTTGAGTGCAATATTTCAAACCAAATAACTAATGAAACAATAAACTCAAAATCACCAAGTTCGTTTTGTGCCAAAGGTTTAGCTTCACTTCTAATTTTCGAATCGCCATCAAGATCGGCTACTAATATCCAAACTCCTAAATTCTCTATTTTCTTTAAACTTAGAACTATTTTTTTCAAATTTTTGGGTTGACATAATTAAAAATTATAACTAAACATTAATGATTCTAAATTTCCAATCAATATTAAGTTCCATGCAAAAGAAAAGAAAAAAAGGTTAGAACTTAAAACAAGTTGTGGATAGCAGGAATGAACATTGGTAAAGAGTTAATTGGAATTGGAGGTAAAACAATTTATTTTTAACTGGAAGCTTAAGTACATCAAACAAGCTCTAGCTTGGTGGTCAAACCTTCTTTTAATGAAAGGATGGTCGCTGGTTCGATTCCCTTCCTTGCATGTTGCCGTCCTTGCACATCTAGTTTTTGTCGTGTGGCCTTGCCCCGCCCAGATTCCGAGGCCCAGATTGGTATTCAAGCATGGATTATGAGGCCCCAAAAATTTGAGGCCCTGTGCTGTGGGTCGGATCAGCACAGGGCCTGGGCCGGGCCTGATCATCAATTCATTTTGAAATATGCATATGCCAAAATCTCACAGGGCAAAGTGGGGATTGAATTATCGAAAAGGTGAAGATTTAATATTTAATTATTTTTTTAAAATATGTGTATTTTTGCACTAAAAAGTAGGTTTAACCACACAAATTTTTTATTTCACCTCTTTTGAGAATTGTTTATGATTTAAATTGATTCAATTTATTGTTCATATTGATGGACCCAAAATTTCACCATCTATCAACCCATACACATGGTAAAAAGGATGTGTACGGGGAAAGGTCAATGAGTTTTAATCATTGGTTAACAAACACAAATAAAACTGCCATATTTCCCCCCTCTAACCACGTGTGCAAGAGGTTTCATAGGAAAAGGTTAATTGATGGAGATTTCCCCTTACTCCAAAACTAGCCAACCATGATCCTTATTCCCATTCAAGGCCATGGGTTGAGAAAGAATTATGGTTCAAATGTGTCTCCTTAAAACTACACAAGGCAAGCCCTTATTTTGGCTTCATACACGTGGCTTATAGGGAGAAAGACAACCAATTAACCTTTTGCGTTCATTTACCTCCACCAATCACCATTCTATTCTTCTTCTTACTCCAAAAACACATATTAGCCAACCTTCCCACTTTATCATGTGGCCAATGTAGAGAAAGATGACTGTAGCTTCTTACTACCACCAAAAGGTAAAAATGATGAGGTGTCCTCATGCATGAACCAAAAGCTAGAGTTTGACACTTGGCCATTAACATGAACCATTTAGCTTCTTAGTAAGGGATTATCAGATGCAGGTTACTTGTACAAATCAAAGCAATTGTACGTCTCTCCATATGTGGTATGCTTAATAGAAATAAAAGTACTAAATCAAGTATAACACTGTTATATAACAAAAGCACTATGTTAAAAATTATATATCAAAAGAAGTATATAGTTGTGTATGTACATGAATAGTTGTAGTAGAAGGTTATTTTTAAAAGGTTTTAAATATATTTCTTTTTAAGTTATGGCTTATCTTATTGATAAAGGTAATTGGCAGCTAGTTACTATGCTATATAACATCCTGGACTTGGAGTGAAAAACTTGTACAAATATCAAATTTCATTTCAATCAAATAATTTGCATTTGATAATATATCTCATGGTAACAAAAATGTATTGTTATAAAATTTAAAGGAATTTTTTTTAACAAGAATGGATTAACGGAGTAAAGCCACTTGATGTTTTCCTTTTTTAATAAGACCTAGAGAGTAACATACATGGAGATACTCACTCTAAGGGTTGTGTTTCAGTTAATTTATTTTGTATCTGATAAATCTAACTAGTTGAGTTAAATTTGGCCCTAGACGAACATCTTAGAAGTTAATTTTCTCCTGAAATGGGCCAAACGAACTACAATGGAGGATTCGATTGTCAACATGCAGTTGAGTTGATATACTGGCTCAATCGCCGTCATCCATGTTCATCTTTCATTCTATCTTTGCAATTGCATTCACTTCTCATAAAAACACTAAGGATGATCTGATGATGTCTTCCGACAGTACTTTTGACTTGAGCGGTGCCAAATGGGGCTGGATTCTGAAGATTGACACTGGTGTGCTGGCGGCGATATTGGTGTTTGTTCCGGCCGTGGTGGGGTGCATCCACCTCGGCCGCTAGTGCAGGAGCAAGAGGCAGGTATATCCTGTGTCAGCTTGAGGTCAGCTGGTGCAGGAGCAAGAGGCAGGTATATGTTGTGTCAGCTTGAGGCCAGGAGGATTCGAGATATTTGTAATTCGTGTCATTGTGAGATATTTGAGATTTGTAATTCGTGTCATTCGACTAAATTAAGGAATCGTTTGGAAGTTGTGATTATTAGAGTTGTGTTTGTTGAATATATGTACTAGGGGTTGTTGTTTGAGACCGAAAATGGACAACCTAAAAAACTCTCCCTGAGCTACATTAATTACGTTTCTGCCATTTGTTATTGAGGCGTACTATTTGTAGCCCTAAATTGTCTTTATTTGTAGTCCTAAATTATAAAAAGTACAATAATACCCATCACATTTAAATACATTTAGTTCACACATTCCAAGACCAAAAAATTCAAACACTTTCTCCAAACACAATCCTACAATACTCGCCACCGGCGACAGCCACCTCCCGCAGGCGACCGCCACCTCCGCCGGAGACAACGACAGATTACCCGACGACAGATTTTGCCGTCTGTCACCGGCGATGGCCGGACGTCCTGCCGGGACGTCGCCGGCGATGGCCGGAAGTCCTGTCGAGACGTCGCCGATTTTTTATTTTATTTTTAATTTTTTGTTAATTTAAATTTGTGAAGTAATTAGATTTTTTTAAATAGATTTTAATTTAGATTTTTTGGTTTAGATTTTTTTTTAAAATGAAGTTATTGAATTTTAATTTTTCATATTTTGAAACTAAGTTAATGTTTCCCGAAAATAATTTAGACTTTTAATTGCCATATTTTAAGAATATGTAGTGTTTGTATTGTAATTTATTATTTTATGAATATTGTAATTACCATATTTTTAGTAGGATTTGTTATAATATTATTTGTAGAATGAAGTTCTTTAATTTCATTTTTTATTATTTTGAAACTAAGTTAATGTTTACTAACAATAAATTAGACTTTGAAGAATATTTAGTAATTTTATTGTAGTTTATTATTTTATGATATTGTAATTATCATATTTTTTAGGATGGATTTGCTATAATATTATTTTTAGAATGAAGTTCTTGAATTTCATTTTTTTATATTTTGAAACTAAGTTAGTATTACTGAAAATATTTTTCTTATATGTATGTCTTGAAGTTGGTCAAGTTCGGACTTCTGGATATCACTACATCAGATAATGAGTAACACGGTTAGTAAGTTAAAATTTTTAATTTTAGAATCATGTTGAATTGTTTATTGTTATGATGAAGTCTAATAATTGATAATATGCTTAAATATTTGTTTTACAATGATACATATTGTTTGAAAAATGTTGAATTATTGATTTTGCTGTCTTGTTGATAATTTAATTAGTACGTGTCTACTTGTTAAAAACTTTTTTATTGCATATTGAAATATTAGGATTTGGTAGTTAATCATGCTAAATGTGCTAATTTTTTGTTGAAAATGTATTGGATTAGTTTATGTTCGAATCTTGAATCATTGTTAACAACGTTGTGTTGTTGATAATTTAATTAGTACGTGTCTACTTGTTAAAAACTTTTTTATTGCATGTTGAAATATTAGGATTTGGTAGTTAATCATGCTAAATGTGCTAATTTTTTGTTGAAAATATATTGGATTAGTTTATGTTCGAATATTGAATAATTGTTGATAACGTGTTTAATATTTTTTAATAAGAAGATAAATATAAAATCTAATATTGCAAACAAGCCATCAAATTTTCTAAAACTTACATAAGGCTCAATCCATTTCAATGTAAGAATTCAATTTACAACAAACATTACAAGTCATGAAAAGTGTTGAAACTTATGTAAGACATCAATCTATATCAAATTGGAATAATTTAATCTACAACAAACATTTCAAAATTAGTATCACTAATAAGATAAATGTGTTTATTTTAGGAAGATCCGAAAGATAAGGGAGACAAAGTTGATTATACTCAATTTTTCATAACAAATACAAGATATAAGTCATGGAATGAAGCTATGGAAGCTGCGAGATTGCAAAAGATCTTGGGTTCTTTTTGACACATTCATCAACCAAATCAAATGATGGCGAGAAGTACCTCCGAATATATCTTCACTGCCATCGTGGATATAAGAACAATACATATGTTTCGGATCCGGATAAGAAAGGACGATCCAACACAAAGTCACTTAAAGATGGTTGTCATTTTCGAGTGAGACTGGTGGGACTCCCGGAGGATAACACTTGGATGATTGATGGTGTGAAGGACAATCACAATCCGGGACAATTTTGTGGGTTTCACAACCATGCATTAGAGCTTTATCCCGAAGGCCACACTCAGAGGAATGCTTTTACTGATGAAGAGCTAAAGGATATGAAGGAGATGGAATGGGCTCGTGTTCCTCCTCGAAAAATGATGCAAACTATCAACCAAAAGTATGGTACTCACCATAACAAACGACAATTTTACAACATGACAGCAAATATAAGGATTGAGTGGCATGACCCCTTCGGATTGGACGAATGGGCACCAAAAAACAAACTCATCTGTCATATTATCCAGTACTCGACGATAGTGATCCAACCTCTCATTCATCAACTGTGCCCCACCTCCAAATCTCACCCCTCCCACTTCTTAGAAAAAGGTTCCCCGCACACCAATCCACGTGTCCCCAACTTCTGATCTCGTAAACACGGGAAGTACTCGTAGATCCAGCTCTGAAGGAGGGTCAAACAGCCACCCATGCCTTTGCAGTCCGCTCGAGACGCCATGCCGAGTTGCCTATACAAATAGGCGAGTGTAGCAGACCCCCAAGAATATTTCCTCACCCGTCTAGTGTCCCCCCAAGAACTGGAGAGGCCAAACCTGCGCCCGATCCCCACTCCTGTCCACAAACAAGGTGGTCCCCAACAAACAGGTCAAGAACATCCGTACCTCAGAATCTCTTTCCCGAAACCTCCCAACCTGCTGCATAGCTTCAACACACACCAAACCCCCACTCTTAAGCGAAGGCTTGGATCGTTCATTCAATTGTTCGACCCTCAGCATCTCACACAACTGTGCTTTCACACTCTCATTCCCTACAACCATATCTCCACCGACTGGAATCCCAAGCAACACTGCAACGTCGTGGAGTGTGATGGTCATCTCTCCAAAAGGCATGTGAAATGTGTTGGTGTCAGGCTGTCACCTCTCCACAAACGCCACAAGTAAAGGTCCGTCCAAGTGCTGGATCGAGCAGTCCAACAACTTGCACAACACTGTCCTCTCAACCAATGATGCAGCACCCTCACTCTGAAATTTGTAATCTTTCAAATAATTGACTGCCAATGCTCTAGTCGACAACTTGAATGAATCCATTCGGCGAGCCCCTAAACCATCATCCCATAATCGATAAGCCACATGACCTCCAAAACTAGGAATCAGGCAATGATCGATAGGCCCCCGGCCCACTCCTGTCGAGTACACCAAGTGGAGTAAAAGACCTAGATATTGGGAGAACTAATGGGGGCTAAGTTGTATAGCTACAACTGTATTTTTCGTTTAACTTCTGTTAACCGAATTTAAAACTAAATAATTGGTTAAGCGAAGCCCAAAACAACAACCTTATCGTTGTCAAATTTACTAAAACCATTAGTGTAATCAAGTGTTCATTTTCAATACCAAAATACCAAAAACCTTAACGGGAAAAGACAACATTTTTATAACAAAAGAAAAATTGAAAGTAAAACTGAAATAAAATATTAACATTTTTGTAACAACCGAAAAGGGAATGTTTCTCCTTCAATTAAAAAAGTAATTTATTGTGGATATTAGAAATTCAGAAACTTAAAGAGGTACTAAGTAGGACTATGGCAAAAAAAGAGGTACTAAGTAAGTAGGGGGTTATGTTCGAAAAGAAGTCACTGATTTTATAAGAAAATAAAGAAATTTTGAGAAGTTTAACAACAACAAAAAAAACATAACTCCAGTTACCAAAATTGGAAAAGTAATTAGCCGTTTCTTCGTTATTCTTGGGTGTAATTTCAAAGTGAGTGTTACTTACTGCAAAGTGATAAAAATGGGGATTGAAAATTCGTTTTAGATACATGAACTCCACTTGCCTTTCAATTGCGGCATGCCGGCATCGGTGCCAAACTACAAGGAAGAGAATAAAAGGAGCCTCTAATTTTATGGGCCTCTAATTTTAGGGTGTTTTATTTACGTAGCTACAAAGATGGATCATGGGCCCTATTCCTTGGGCTATAATGACGCCAGTCAAACTAAAATCCTCCAATATAAGCCCGGCCAGTTGGCCGGTAAGCGAATTTTTACCGGTAAGATATCTAATTTGATTTATATTCAACGATAGTGTGTTAGACATGCATGAATCTGTTATGTATTATGGGTAGAAAACTGAATCATATTTGTATAGTTTAGTAACATTGTAAAATTTGAACTTGCTCCATGAGTTATGATGGTATATACGTCAATCCTATATGGAGGTACAAAACTTAGTGCTATTGATGTTTCTAGTAATTTTTTTTAAATAGGGACATGGTTCGTATATTCGTGCTCGTGAGTCATGGTCTTATTATTGATTTTTTAACATATATCAAAATGAATATCGTCATATAGATTACATAAAATATGATTTCTATGTCCAAAATATCCAAATTCACTTTGAAACGAAAGAACCGCGGGTCAATTAAAAATGATAGAAAAACTGAAAGGAAGACCTAACACACTCTCATGGGATGACCAAAAAATAAAAAACATTAAAAACTAAATAAAAAATCAAACTACATGTTAAGCTTAACTCCCACACTTTTACGCTCTCCTTTAAATTCTGTACATTTTGCATCGTTTTGAATAAAAAAAACCTGCACTGAATTTAGGCTGTTAAATTTAGAAAAGAAAATTGATGAAAATGCTCAATCACTGGTTGTCATATTTAACTTTTGATTGATTTTACTTGATCTCAAATTATTCCTTAATTTTTAGTTTGTAATTCTACTTTTATAACTCTTAGTACATAGCGCTATTACATAGCGTATATTTAAATATGAGATTTTCTCATTTTGTTTATAATGTTATGGTTTATTTAAATGTTTGATGTAAATTGTAGCGAGATTGGATTGAGATAGGTTACATATATGCATATTTCATTTGCTTTTAATAATATTCTACTTTCTATGCATATTTTGTTAAAAAATTGGCATAAATCGATTGTATCCTGGTAGGATCATTTCACTTACTAAATCGACATCACGGTGTAAGTCGGTTTGACAATCTTGTATAAGATTCCTAATTAAAATAGTTTAGTACCAACGTGTCCATTATTATAAAAATTACCGGATAAAATTAGATAATCAGATAAGAAAAATACACATGGATAAATAAAAGAGAGACGATATGGTTTGGCCAAAGAAAAAACAAAGATAACATGTGGAAGTAAACATGACAAATAATGAAAGCAAGAACTAACTTAAATGGTTAGGAAAAAAATTGCCGGTTAAATAATGGGGCAATAACTGTCCTATAGCAAAAAATTAAGGAAAGAACAGTTCCGTTGGTTGTAAAAAAAAAGTAAAAAATAATTATAATTAGTTGATGATGTCGAAGCACGAGAAAAGGAAAAATTCAAAATGGTGAAAGCCTTTTTGAGAAAGTGTATTATATATTCTTTAGATTAGATTTAGATTAGATAGATAGATTAGATTAGATAGTGAAGTTTTATTGAGTTTTCAATAGTTAAAATTTACCGCTCTCTTCTCTTCTGCTGAATTTTTGTCAAGGGTATTTTAGTTAAAAATTTAAACCAACAAACCCCAAATCCTACCTGCAAAACGTATAAATGTGTGCTGTCAATTCCAGCCCAACGATACAGGGCCCATCAACCATTTAGCGCCTGTCCATAAAAAGCCCAGAATTAGTAGGTTTTGGTTGGAAATTAAAGCCTATAATCTACACTAGAATTAGTAGATTTTGGTCGCATAAAAATCCTTATGATAATATTTTTTTCATTGTTGAAGAGCAGTAATACGTTGATATTCCAACGATCGAGATTAGTCAATTGACTTGGGTGTTGTTTATGAAAGAATTTGGCAATATGTCAAATTAAAGTAATATGTCATTATATTCGACAAACCTATTTAAATTGAATTAGTGATTTCCATTACATGTTTAAAAGACATATGGGGAATGAAAATTTGTTATCTTCAACCACAACCATAAAAACACAAAGTAGTTTTTACCAAGTACCAACTACGACAAGTTGACAACTACTAGTCTACTACTAACAACATGAACAAAGTCACATAATTTTAAATATAGATTCAATAAATTTGAACGTGGTGAATTTTTTTATTACAAGTCAAATTTACGGGCAACGGGACGGACACAAGCTAGTGTATTATTAAGTCGTAGAGCATCATTTGGTCGGGAGAACAGAAAATGATTAGAATGAATGGACAAAAATACCCCTAGCGGAAATTAAAGGGAGGCCAGAGATTTTTGAATGGCGAAAAAGCAGCAAACTTCACCATCTATTATTCTTTTGATTTGAAACCTAACACATAATTCGAAATTATGTGTTAGTTTTCAACTAAATTTAATTTTGTAACCATATGACTTACTCATTCGTTAGTAACGATTTTCAATATCAGTATTAATAGCTTAATTTCATTTTAATGTTAAATCCGATAATTGTCAAAATTTATGTTTTAGGTTTGAACGAAATACAACATTCATATGAAAACTTTTGGATAATATTTGATACTGAAAATTGAGTCTGAAAATGATTAATATTTTTGTGTTTGTTTTCAATGAAATACAATTTCGTTATCAATGCTTTGATATATCGTTATTTATGGTTTGGTGTTGGGGTGTGAATGTTGGTTTGCTTAACTAATACTTTGCAGCCCCATGAACTAAAATTTGCTTGATTGAATCGCCAATGCACTGTGATGTGACTTGAATCAAATTATATGGCATCAAGTGGAAGAGTTAGGGCAGTTGGACGTTCTATAAATACTTCCTCATACTCCTCTGTAATCTGTATCGAAATATCAAATATCTTCAAGTATAGTGAAGCTGACTCTCTCTGCCCGTGGACTAACTAACAAACATTATTTTAGCAATAATGAAAAATTATGGGTGTGTGTGATTGTTCATTCTCCTGTTTCTACAGCACAGAAAATTATGAAGAGATTTACTTAACTCACCCAGAGACTTATAGCCTTGCGACATGAAATTTTCGAAAATGGAGAATCTAGTGGCCTATGGCCTATAGAGACTCCAATTAGGGCTGCAAATGAGCTGAGCTGCTCGAGAGCGGCTCGATGTTCGACTAAAAAAAAACTCGTTCGAAATTCGGCTCGTTAATAAACTAGCCGAACATGAGCTAAACTTTGTTCAGCTCGTGAAGCTCGCGAGCTAGCTCGACTCGGTGGCTTGTTGAGCTAAACTCGTGAACTGGCTCGTTTAGAGCTCATGATATGTCTCAACATGTGGCTAGAGAGCCAACTCGATTACCGACTTATGGACGAATCAATCTATATCTTATGATTTTAATTCATATGATTGTTAAATTATATATCTCACCATATATCAAGTTTAGCACGTTGAATATGTGAGCAAATTTATCTTATTTTCTATTTAAAAAACTTCAATACTATGAAATAACAAGATTTGGAGTAATTAAATTTTTTTAACTAAATGATATATCATACTAACAAAGTATAATATGATATTAGCTAACAAAATAAATCATATGTATCATGATATACAAAATAAAGTACCAAATAAAAGTCAATATTTTAGTAAACAAGCTAGTTCGAGCTCGACTCGACTCGGTTCGTTAATAAACGAGCTGAGCTCGAGCTCCACTCGTTATTAACGAGCCGAGCTCAAACTAAAATAAAATTCGACTCGACTCAGCTCGGCTCCTTTGCTGCCCTACAATGCCTATAAGAAATAAGTATAAACGCCGTACTCTCGAGTAGAGAGCCTGCAAGTGGGCCTATAGTCAATCGTTATTTTGGCCCATTCACGAAGCCCACATGTGGGCGTGGCCCATTCTTCCATCCGCCCATGCAGCACTAGCTAGACTCGTTGTTTTGAATTTTGATGTTACAGTTTGTGGTCCTTTATGTAATTAGCCGTCTGTTTATGTTAATATTTGGGGATTGCTATTCGTCGCCCTAAAAATCCTTATTCATCGCCCTAATTAAGTTAATTTTACTTTAATGTCCTTAATTATTTTATTTGTAATTTAAATAAACACTTAAATCCAAAACAAACTTATTACTGGAAATAAATAAAAAACAAACTAATTATTGTAAATTATGATTAAGTAATTAACCCAATCTTATTTTGACCTAAAATGATTCATGTTTGACTTGCGGTCTGCATTCTGCAATGGTAAAAGCGACTATCAATCAACCACAGTAAGCTCTGCGCGACATGGTTATCTCCAACTACGGAAAATCATTTAATGTCACTGCTTTGATTACCCAAACCGATGTCGTACCCAAGCCTTAACCTACTCAGGTGGCCGTGCCTCCGGCTTCCACGTCGCCGACGAGTGATTCATCAGCGGCTGGTGAGCAGCTTCCTCCGCCTCCGGTGGCGGAATTGGATCGGCCGGTTGGGATTATTGATGGGGATGGGAAGATGAGCGATGATTTTGAAGTTGGTTAGGTGGATCCGGATGTTTTGGAGAATTGGGGGAATGAAACTGAGATCGAGAGTGAAGGTGGTGAGGGATTTGAGCGGCATTGTCCTGAGAAAGGAAAAGAGCTGAACTGCTTGGTTGTTCAACCCAAAGGATACCGCCGCCAACTAATTCCATTCCATGGCCCCGGTCCTCGGAGAATAAAGCAAATTGGCTTTTCGGCAATTGCTTGGCTTAGGATATTAGGATATAAATTTTATTGAGGGTAAATATGTCAATTTAATGCATTTTAGGGCGATAAAATTTAAAATTTAGGGCGACAAATAGCAATTCAGTAATATTTTCGTGAGTTAATAGTAATTTATGCCCCTCTACTATTGTATGTTAACAAATGTATCCCTTTATTATTCTTTTACACATTCATACTCTTTAATGAGGACTGTTAATGAACCAAGCCAAATATCATAAACGACTCGGCGTTCGACTCGAAAAAACTCATTCGATACTCAGACTTGTCCTAATCGAGCTGGCTCGCGAACAAGCTCATTAATTAAATGAGCCAAACTCGAGCCATATCATATTCAGCTCGAAAGCTCGTGAACAAACTCGTTTAACTTATTTCATCTAAAATAAATTTAAATAATTTATTAATTTAATTAAAAAAAAACATCTACACAATCCCCCCACCGACCCCATCTCCCATCCCGGCGTCCTTAGCTCCTACCAAATTTGATGATTGTTGGGAATGTTATTAATTGGTATTGCATAGATTAAGTAGTAGCATATCAGTATTGTGGCGCGTTACCAAGAATTGGTACCAAATCAAACTAAGGTATCGTTTGCTTGTGGGATTTGGGTGATGGATTTGGTACCCAAATCCCAAGCATAATGGAATTGGCACAAGTCCATTGTTTGCTAAGGGACACAAATCCGTGGGGCCCACGGATTTGGACCCATTTTTTAGATCCAAATCCGTGGACCCCACGGATTTGCAAATCCCACATTTCATTTGGGATTTGATAATGGAAGGCAAAATGTGAACAAATCCATCATGAATCCATTACAAAAATAAACTACACAAACAATGTACTCTTCCAAATCCATAATGCAACAAATCCATCATAAATCCAAAGGTTTTGAAAACTCAAAACCCTCATTTTCAAATCCAACAAGCAAACGAGCCCTTAAGTAATGTAGTTAAAAGCGAGTTTTTAAGTAGAAACGTTTTGGTGATTTAGAAGCGTAAAATCGTAAGTTTTTAAGTTTTAAAGCGGAGTTTTTAACTATATAAGTTATAAAAACTGAGATTTTGTGTAGAACCGTTTTAGTGACCTAGAAACGTAAAATCGTAAGTTTTTAAGTTTTAAAGCGCGATTTTAACTACATTGAAACTCAGTAGTAGCGCACCAGCATAATGACGCTCAACCCTGGCTCAAATTGAGATTAAGTAGTAATGCACCAACATTGTGGCGTGGTAATCTCAGTAATGCACCAGCATTGTGGCGTGCTAGCGATGACGTCCAAACTAAAATGAGACTAAGTAGTAGTGTTGCAGCACCAAATCCATAATACAACAAAATCCATCATTAAATCCAAAAAATTTTAAAACTCAAAACCTTTATTTTCAAAACCTTTCATTTTTAGTTCATGTTCTATTATATGATAGATGCTGCAGCAGCACCAAATTCTCTCTACCTTCCCAGTATTTTCGAAACAAACCGAGATACTTACTACGAACCACCTCTATCTGGTTCAAGCATGGACATGGAAGCCTTCCATCCACACTTCAGAAATTTGGGTTCATCAGTAAAATAGGATTGGATTGGTTCAGTTCTAGTCCAATAAGCCAGCCTTCTTGTAGCTCTCCACGGCGTCCACCAGAGTTTCCGGCAGTGAACGGTATCTCCAGCCTAGCTTCTGCAACTTGTCTGAGCTCATTTCTTTCTTCTGATGTACCTCTGTAAAGCTGCCAAAAATGTTATGTCAACTATATTATTAGCCCGTTGAAAAGGAGAGGCCGATGAGCACACTCAAAATCAAGGCTTATAAAAAAGATAAAAAAATGTTTGTTGAGAGTGGGATTTGAACCCACGCCCTTTCGGACCAGAACCTTAATCTGGCGCCTTAGACCAACTCGGCCATCTCAACTTGTTGATGTTCGATGTGCTAATAATTTTTTAGTTACTTTGTTTCATGCATGGTTAGTCTGTATTGATACAAACCCGGTCTCCAAGAGGAACAAGCCTTATATCCTACTTATTATATTAGAATTATTATTAGTGTTAAGGTAGTAGTATTGAAGTTGCTATTAGGGTCTTCCCGTATTTCCTATAAATATGTAATTTGGATATTCAGTGAAAGACAATCACGAAACAAATTAGTAAAGTATTTTTCTAAACCCTAGCCTCTCGTCTCTCTCTGTCTATCAAGGTTGCCGGTCATTCTACTTCTCTCCTTTTGTTCTTCCACAATTCTACTCGAATCTCTAATTCTATCTTATAAATCCCTAATAAGTCTCCAATTTTGATCTCTATTCCCAAATTCACAAGTGTCAAACCGACCCCAAGACCACTAGATCCACGGCTTCTAATAAATAAGAGTACATAAATATGAAATGGCTTACTTCTTAGGATAATTGTAGTTGGGATACTTTTCCTTCAACATATCAACTATGTCCTTGACATGCATGGAATGCGAACTACATATGTATCTGCCTTGCGCATCAGGTTTCTCGTAAGCCAAAACCAGCGCTTCAGCTACATCCCGAACATCCACGACCAGAAAATGCCTATTATCGACCATGTCCTTCCCTTCTGCATACACCAGCAAATAGAGTTGATCATGAATGAGAAGATAGTAATATTGTTCCAGCTGCGGTAGCACAGCTAATACGAAGATCGAAACCCATAAACCAACTCTGTAAACAAGTCGTGCACAGGATAGCAATGGCCACTCGCTATACCTTTCAAAAGCTTGACGAGCAGCAAGGTGCTCGCGTTCACAGTAGACTGCAGAATGGGACCCAAGATGAGATTGGGGCAAACGGTTACAACATCAAGTCCAGCGGCTTTCCCATACTCCAATGCCTTACTCTCAGCTTCAGTCTTGGAAGCACAGTACCAATTCTGTAGTCAAGCAACGTGTTAAAATTAACATATAGGTTCCTATTAGAGTTGCAGATATAAAAGCATGTCTTCTATATCTCTCTTTCTGCCCATAAGAGAGTAGTAATAACCAGACCTCAGTAGCTCTGCAATGTTCAGCGTCGGACCAGCAAGACTCATCGATGACCTGACTATCAGTCCAGGAAGGGTTCATTATAAGAGCAGCACCAGAGGACACAACCACAGCTCGCTTGACCTTGGTCTCGTTGCATGCTTTGAGGACATTCAGGGTTCCTGTCACTGCTGGCTCGATTAGGTCAACCTAAGAACAGAGCTTTGTGTGAGAAAGTCGCTTCCTTTTGTTTGTGGGGGGATTTGAATTGTAATCCACTGAAGAACCCAGAAGCAGGAAAGGGAGAAATAGGGAACTGGCCTGAGGGTTTGGCACAGAGGAAGAGGGAACAGGGCTGGCGACATGGAAAACACCCGAGCAGCCTTGAATTGCAGAGACCAGAGATGGGTAATCCAGCAAATCGGCCTTCACGAGCTCCAGATTCGAGGATGCATTTGGGAGTTGCTTCAAGTGGGCATACTTTCCATCCACTATGATATTCAGTATTCACAAGTCACAATCGATCAAATTGAAGTAAATTCTAGCGAAGGAAGCTAACTACGAGTTAGAATGAAGGTGATAGTTGGGGTTTTATGAACTTACAGGGATCTCTGACGGTGCCACGGACTAGATAGTTCTTGGAGAGGAGAAGATGAACAACCCAGGAGCCCAAGAAACCTCCGGCGCCGGTGACGCACACAGGTCCCTTCGCCGACGACATGAGATCGTTGAGACTCGGAGAGTGTGAGAAGGAGGGAAAGGCGAGGTTCTTGTCCAAATCTTACTGTTGCTTTTTAAAACCCATTTTTTGGAAGCTGCCATTAGAGCTGCTTGGTGGGGACTTGGCACCAACTGCTGTAGTGTCTCGAATCATCCGCCATCTCCAAGTGGCAGCAAGGCAAAGCCCTTGATGCCGAGTCGCAAGAGTGGACGTGGGTCGGTGCAAAGCCGGTGCTTTATCCTTTTGTGTGGGTCGAGGACAAATTGGTTTTTGATACTACTGGACGAAGTGGGAATTCAGCACGGTTGATGTCAAGGCATGATTTTGATTGCTGATTTCCTGCTTGATATTGTTGGCTTACAGTTTATGGTGATTATTGTAAAGCTACCACATGAAGCATTCAGTTGCTACAGGGAATCAAATGATGTTCTTCATTATTCTCATTATATAACCGCGGTATTATTCAGTTGAAACATCCAAGAAAGTGACAACATGTGTATTATTTTTTTTTCTGCAACTATCTACAACTTGCTTAGTCCATGCAGTTCCCGCCTGATTTGATCCCTCAGAACTCGCCTCAGCAACTTGTTCGAAGCAGTCCGGGGAAACTCTGCGACGATCTTAACATGTCCAACCTGCAACTCGATCGCGCATGAAAATCCCCACACCCTTAAGTCATGTAACATGACCAACGTGCAACTCGATCGAACATAATAAACTGGGGATGAGAGTATAAGAGGGGCAAACCTTGAAGAGTGGGTTGAGGTTGGTCTGGATGGCTTTTGAGAGCTTCACTCTCAACTTGTCACTTTCCCCATTAAACCCATTCTTCAGCACCACAAAGATCACCAACACTTCTGGGCCACCTCCCGGTGGTGCCACGCTCACTGCAGCGGTCTCCAGGATGCCTTCGTCAGCTCGATCACACACACGCTCGATCTCCACCGAGCTCGTCTGCAATGTCGATGACAAATCATATTAAGAGTGAGATCCGAAAAACCAGATTGGTTATTGTATATATGCAAATGTATTACCTTAATCCCACCAAGGTTCATGGTGTCGTCTGCCCTGCCCTGCACAATGAAGTAGCCTCCAACAGTCCTCTTCAGGATGTCTCCATGTCTCCTTAGTTGCTGTCAGAGTAAAAGAAATACACACAATGAGTGGCTGCCAGCATAACAAAGCTTCAGTTAACAGATTGGAAGGCATAAGTATGCGAAGAACCATATCATCGTCATAACGTACCATTCCCTTGACAATCGGCATTCCCTTGAAGTATACCTCATCATGATCAGCATTGAGCAGTCGATCAGATGCACCTAGGTACACGGGGTACAAACCCACTTCACCTACGCAAGGTTGATCACCTGGCTGCACGTTTGGATGGAAAGATCTATTACACACAAATATACAGGGGATGAAATATCTTAGACTGCTCTAATTAGCTCACTCTTTCACCTTCTGAAAGAGAAACATGGCCCATACTCCTTCATAGACCAAAGTAGCAAACCAATAGTAGAGTGTGTTTTATATCCGGGTATTCCGTCATTGTACTTACATATGGAATCCCTTCCTCATCAAGGATAACAAGTCCTGTTGTCATCGACGCCGTGCTAAATGCTCCGAAAGCCTGTGGCTGTAGCACACTGCCTTGGATATAGGATGAAGCAAGTTCAGTGCCTCCACAGCATTCGATAATGGGATTGTAGTATGATTTCGAAGAGAGCCAAAGATCGTCATCAACATTTGAAGTTTCTCCCGTGGAACAAAAGGACCTGCAATTAATTTACTATGTTTCTTAGAGGACCTTCTCCCTAAAATCCATTTGTGCTTTCAACAGACTAGGTAGGGATATCAGCAACTTTACGAAGTACTATTCCACTTAACGATAGTTAACCAACTATATCTCTAAAATTTTGCATATGTGCAAGTAGACACATTCGAGCAACTGCTGCTAAGATTAAACAATTCTCCTGAACTACTAGGATTAAGCAATTGCTAAAAACATTAGAGAAACGCAGCAAAACTTGGATTATCAATATTCTAAGGGATTACCTTATTCGTGTCCAGTCTAACCCTTCCATGCAGTTGGAGTTTTTCCAAGTTTTCACTAAGCTTGGAACAGTTCCTAAGACAGTAACACCAGCATCCTGGCAAAACGTGATCAAAGAATGCACCATAGCTCTGACTTTGAACATGATCTGTTACTTTGAAATAATAGATATTACATCTTGCTTTGTAGCAGAAATTTGTTTACCTGAACAAATTTCCCGAAGTCGCGGCCAAGGGGAGATCCATGGAAGAGAGCAAGAGTTGCACCAGTTAAGAAGCAAGAATAGAGCAAAATAGGTCCCATGACCCAACCCAAATTTGTAGGCCAGCAGTAGACATCACCAACTCGAATATCAACGTGAGCCCAAGCATCGCTGCTGCATCGAATTGGTGAAAGGTGTGTCCATACAATTGCTTTAGGGTCTCCTGAAGTACACACAAATGAAATGAGTTTGATCATAGCATATGTTTGCAAGTGAAGTGGAAAAAATGTGAATAATTTCTCCACCTGTAGTCCCAGATGAAAACAGAATGTTCGTCATCGAATCAGCTGGTTGATAAACAGGAGAGTAAACATTGGGTCTGCCAGGAAGTATAATTTGTTACAACACAGGTATAAAAACTAACTTTAGCACTTACAGCAATCTGAAGCGACATTCTACCTTTCAAGGTGGTTGGCTCTGGAAAGAAACTTTTTCCATGAAAGATCCTGCTTTTGCAACTGAATGCCTACGTCATTACCCACCGCAGGCAACACAATCGCTTTATGAGGCCTAGCTTCACTAACCCGACTTCAATCATGCGTAAAGAAGAAAGTAACAAGTCTGTCAGCAAAATGCTGTTGGGTAGAAATTAATGAGTATAAGCATGGAGTATCTAACTACTAAACATGTCCTTAACTCTGCTTTCATGTCTAGTACAAAAGTAACAATAAAATAGAATACACAACCCGATAAGTTGACCAAGAAAAGTAATTACTTCTACTACAACACTACTACGGACAACAGTAGTCACCTGTACAAGGGAACCTTCCGACCTCCTCTGAGAATGAAGTCCTGAACAAAGACAGAACCATACAGAACTACGTGAGAAAGGGTTCAGTTGAAAAAGTATATGCAAATGAAACAAAAGTCCGGTTGTAACTCCAAATCTAAGACAATCTTAATTCCTGAAAGCTGACTTGCATATTTCCGCTGAGATAATAGGAACTTGATATTTGGATGCATTAGAAGAACAAAAGCTCAAACCTTTTGCCATTATTGTCATTAAACCTTAACCAACATGGAAAATGAGAAACCACCAAAGGGAAGGTAACCTGTGTGAAGATGCCCTTGGCATTGGAGATGCGCAAACGAGTTGCAATTTCCTTCGGAGCAAAGCTGTCGGCTATTGATACCACAACGTAACCTGCAAATACAATGGCCAAATAGATGATAACAGAATGAACTGTCATAGGCATGTCGATGGCAATAGTGTCCCCCTTCACAAATGTTGTGTCTAGAGCATTAGCAACCAACCTGTACATCACATTGAAAAAGAGAAACCATCCATGAAGAATATCCCATTTCGTTGGACATAAATCCAGCAAGTGACAGACCAAAGTGACAAGAACCATTACATTACTTGTTGTCGGAGCTCTTTCAACGTCATTTTGTTCACCACAGAGGAATCAATTTCATCCCTCCATACAATTGCTACACTATCGTCATTTTTCAAGGGACGAATCCCAGGCTGCAAACAGCAATCAGCAATATTCATAACTGCACCGGGCAGCCATGTTCCACCAGGTTTTGATTTGTCACTAGTGTCAAGAATGCACTTTGGCTTTTCATGAAAAGACACCGAAAGCTCTTCTAGAACGATTGCCCAATAAGCCTGGAAACACCAATTCCAGAAAGAAAATAGTTGCATTCAGTAAAGATAGGCAGGACTGGTGGGAGACTGGTACACATATGAAGTCATACCTCAGGGTTTATGACACTAAACTTCTGGAATAGGTCAAAACTTGTAAGGGGGTCCTTGTAAGAAGCCCCTAAAAACTTCGGTCCATGAGTTTCCATTGCAAGTCCCAAGCTTGTACGGGTTGACTCATCCCTACCATTAAAATCATTGGTTGAACCCATTGAGAAGAGAAGCTTATCCTAATTGCAGATATTAACTAAACTATCCATAGAACAACAGAACCCATTTTTCTTAACTGTGAAAAACAAGAACGAAAGACCAGTAAAGCAAAACCATTAACCAGATTGGGGCGAAAATGAAACACACAGGAATAGAAGAAGAAGGGAAACTTACTGAGAAGGAAACCAGTAAGGAGGAGGTCCACGAACGGAGGAATCCCAATTGGAGTAAACAGAGTAGTAAACCAGCTGGTGGAGCTTATGAGGGTGACATGGCTGGAGAACCCTCTCGCCCACCACCTTCCGCCACACTTCTGTCGGGTCAGCAGGTTCAGAGCTCGACCCATTTGCCAAAAAGATTGCATTTTTTAGCAGGTGATGGAATCTCCTAGCATCCTCGACGGAAAGGCCTGCCCTGACAATGTCATGGACCCCAATTTCACTAACCCCTTTCTTGTTGATCTCCATTTCCACAACTGCTTTTGGAATCCGTCTCTGGTTTCCGCTGGGCTTGTTGTTAATTTGGGGAAGGTTGAAGCTTTGATGGTAGCAGAGAACGGTAGCGGGAAGAGAAGGCTGGTAGGTAGTAGAAGGAATGGACGTTGAGCCACGTGGGTTCCGTGGGCTCATGTTATGTTACTTGCAAGCTACAGCTATAAATTCGGTCTTAAAACCGGTTAAAAATCCCCTCCACCGATTGCGCAAGTCTTTTGAGATACTTCAAGTTTACTTGTTTTGCTAGGTCCCGACTTCTCCTCTATGATCTTCCCATTAGTTCATACATGAGCGATAGATGTTGGAGGTGTGGGATCCTTGAGCATTTCCTTCTCGATGGTTTAGGCCATAAGGTAGAGGAACAAAGTACATTGGACAAAGTTGAATTTTGCATCCACTTCAAGAAGTATCACTTTATTCAGTCACAACGAGCAAAGTGGTAACCATGAACAAACTGTGTATATATGCAACAACAAACAACAGAACTACTTGAAGGGCTATTTCTCAGATGATCACTTGGCAAATCTCCGAGTCCACTCTGCAGCCAGCTCGTCATGCTTTGCCCTATCCGCCAGATACAAGTGTGCAATGCCAGGAATTTGAGGATTATCTGCAGAAAACAAACCACAGAAACAAACCACGGGGTCCAAACGCTTGATCAAATGTTCAGTTTTGAATGGTTCAGGCCAGCATCATTATACAAGAACCCAGAAAGTAGGTAATGGGAGAGAATTACAAGGATCAGGGTTGGTGAAAATTGATCTCACTGCAAGTAACACTTTAGTGATGGTGAGAGCTGGACTCCAGCTATCTTTCAAGATGTCCATACTTAGATTGCCAGCAGAATCGACATTACAATGGTAAATCCTGGTTTTGAATGCCACCTGAAAAGAAAGAAACCGATGAGGCATTTCTCCAATAGTTAAAGCCACATGAAATGTTAAAGCTTTTCAGCTCTTTGTTTACCAACAGAAATGTTAACATGTTGTTCCAAGTACAAATGAGCTGAACTGGAAAAAGTTCCTACCTTTGGCGGTTTGAACGGGTAGTCGCTTGGAAATATTATGTCAAGAAAAAATATACCACCTTGATAGGGTGTTCCTACAGTATTGAGTCAAAGAAGGTCATAAGAATCGGTTTGGTAGAGCATTAACCGCGTTCAATTGGTAGTACCTAGATCCTTAAATGAACTACAATCGGCAGAAAACCAGAAAATCACCACTTCACGAAATGAAAGTATGACACAAAAGCAGTTTCTGCTCAATAACCATATGTAGCCTGCAGTAAACCCAACTCAGCAGAACATACATCAAAGTGATCAAACGCTCTAGTTTATGAAACTTAGTAGTTGTAAGAAGGATCAGAGCTAAAGAAAATTGTCAGCTTTATCATACCGGTGTAAATCTAAACAAGCTATATACATAATCTGGAACAATTGAACTCGAACATTGGAGCCATGCCCAAGATAAACACGTTAATCATGGGGGAAAGGGGAACAATTGACATAAATTGACTAGCTGCAGAGAGTTGCTCAATGACAGGAGGCAGGAAGAAATGGTAAAAGAGGAAGGAAAACCTGAAGGGCCAATAATGGTGGAGACCCAATGGTAGAGATTGTCGCCTTTGGGCCCTGCAGAGCAATCAGGCGGCGGATCCATGCTGAACTCCGTTATCTCTCTCTGTATCCTCTTCCCCGACGTCGACACTGATGTGGGCGACACCCATGAATTATTCGCCGTCGCCGATGATGGTCCGCCGCCGCCGCTTCCCTGCGCAGAGACATCACGGCCAGAAATCCTATACATGCTTCGGACCAACAAGCAATTTCGCGTGGAATTCGAGGTACTGCTAGCAGCAAAGGAAAATTACAACTGAACTGAGAACTCCCTGGCAAACATTTTCAACTTGTAGCACCTTCAACCCGGAGAAATCAGTGAGGAATGCCCATCCGAGTGAAGTTCGAACTAGGGCTCCTCTCTTTTCTTGCCCAGAAAATGGTTTCCCACCCAATAAAAGAGAAAACTTTACAAATTCTCCCTCTCGGCTTTGTCTTTTTCCGCAGCTGCCGCCGAATCCCACTTGCTCTTCGCCGGGCTCTCTGGCTCCGGCTTAACAACAGGGGATAACCGGCGCCGTTTCAGGATAGGGTTGCCGCTGGGGAAGGGCAAAGCATTGGGTCGAGCTGAAACGGCGTCGTACAAGGGCCGCGAAGGTAAATTAGGACATCTCGAAATATCAGAACCGAGCAGCAAGGGTTTCTTCTCAAGTGTTGTAATTTAAGTGTGCGGCGACAGAGCACAAACCCATCCAGAGCCTGGGCACGTAGAGAGAGAGAGAGAGAGAGAGAGAGAGCGCAGCAGTAGGGTTAATGTGGTGAGGTTTCCTTGGCCGCAAGCTGAGAGAAAGAAAGAGAGGCAACGCGGGCTCGACGGAAGGGAGTAAGGTTAACGTATATTGGAGATTCGCTACTGATTTTGCCGACGGAAGCGAGCTGACATTCGACGGGAAGAAGGGAAGAGATACCAGTTAACGGAAGAGAGAGAGCGGTGACGCACGGAGGGTTCGACGAGCAGAAATCAGAAGGGGTGAAGATCGAGGAGCGCGCAAGATTTCAGCTTTCAGATTCTTGACGCCGGAATTTGAGTTGGTAATTTTCTCACCCTTTTTATTTCGAGTCTAGAGTGGGTTTGTTTGTGATTCGGCAATGCCTTCACGCAGGATTTCTCCCGAGTTGTATGGAGATGTGCGGGCCAGGCTTCTCCCCCGTGCTTGAGATGCTCGGGGCTCAAAGCCAGGAGTTTTTCTTTTCTTCCTGTGAAGTTGTGAACTTTTAGGGTTTGCCCGCCTGGGGAGTTTGTTTTGAGTAGTGAAAGGGAATGGTTTAGATTTTGGTGGTGGTTGAAATTGAAAATTAGGCTAGTTACCTCTGAGAATTAGAATTTGGTATCTAATCGATAGACATGTTTGTGAATCTGTTGGTGGTTGCAAGTTGCTGTTTCGTGTTGCTTGAGTAAAACTGCTCAAAAGTTGTCCTCGTTTTCTTTCCTTGTGATGTGATCTACTGGGGATTGACTGCCTGCCTGCTGTATCTTCCCCTCACATGTTTGATATGTGTTGATCATCTGGTCTTAACCAGTGGAGAGACTACCTTCCTGTTGTAAGGATGTGGTTCTTCTGCTACTTAGAGTGGAACTGGATTTCCACTTGCTTATCCAGTGTTTTATTTTTTAGATAGGTTAGGGAGTAGTGGCTCCCTGGCTTTTAATTTGTTTTGTGATTGTTAAGTGGGGAGCAAGAGTGGATAAACACATTTAGTTTAGGATTCAATTGGTACAATATCACCATGAATGTCTGTGAGGGTTGATATCGCAGGTTTTGTTATGCTAACCTTGGCGTCTGTTGGAAATTTTCAGGTAAAAGCTTTGTGAAATGCGAGGAAGGAGTTACAGTCCATCGCCCCCAAGGAGCCACAGTAGGAGGAGGAGGAGTCCAAGTCCTAGGGGACGATATGGTGGTCGCGGAAGTGCAAGAGATGAGCCTACTAGTCTTCTAGTTAGGAACCTTCGCCATGATTGCAGGTTGGTGAAAAGTTGAAGTGTTCTGATCTTCGAGTTTTACTGCAATTTCACACATGAGAAACTTAGGGTATGCATCTCTTTCTATTTTGCAGGCCAGAAGATCTTCGCAGGCCCTTTGAACAGTTTGGTCCTTTGAAGGATATTTATCTGCCCAAAGATTATTATACTGGGTGAGAATGTGTTTCTGATTATGGAATTTATTTTGGTCTATGTTACGTCTTGGTTGTGGTTCTGTAGTGATTACAGGTGTTGAGTGTTGCTTGGTTATTTTCTTTTCTTCCCCTCTTTGGCACTTTTACTGGTACCATTTCCTTCGTAGACCACTTGAGAAAAATAAGGAAACATGCAGTAGTTTTAGAGCTTGAATCTCTGGGATGGTAAAAATAACTGAAAAAATTAAAACTTTTGTTTCTGTCAGAGTAATGTTACTATAAGACTTTGGTAAGTACTAAGTACATGTCATTGAGCATCATAGTTTCGTAAAAGAATGGTTGAGTTCCTTAGAAAGTGCAATTTTAAAAAGTTAAATTTCTGACAGTTTAATGTTACTACCTACTATATGATTTTGGTAAGTGCATGTCATTAAGCACCATAGTTTTATAAAAGAATGGATGTATTAAGCAACATAGTTTCATAAAAGAGCTCATTAAGTGAATCTTAAGTTATTGTAGTTCATTTTGCGTGGACTTTGTGTTCTGATCAAAGCTTTTGTTACTATGGTGTTCTCTTTATGATACCATCTCTTGCAATTAAACTTGGGTGGCAGTTAATTAAAGTGCTTGAGATGCTATAGTGAAATATAATGTTTGGAAGACATCAACCAAGTAATTAGAGTTTTCTGGAAGGTGGTGTTAATGGTAGTGAAGATTGGAAGGAAGTGTGGGTTTGAATTCATTATGAAGATGTTTCAAGTCTTGAAGAGTTTCAAGTCATCTTTTTACTAACACTTGAAGGTCAGCAAACCAGGTGCTTGCTTTCAGATGTTTACTGCGAATGACCTTTGTATATATTATGAATTGTGTTGGTACACTTTGTTCTCTAAGGATGGTAACTTTTGAGCGATTCACTATCTGCTTATGAATTGGATTCTCATCTTCCTTTTTTTGTTTCTGCCCCCCTTTTTTTGCAGTGAACCTCGTGGTTTTGGGTTTGTCCAATATGTTGATCCTCGTGATGCTACTGAGGCCAAACATCAAATGGATGGTCGAGTTCTTCAGGGTCGGGAGTTAACAGTTGTGTTTGCGGAGGAGAACAGGAAGAAGCCTACTGAAATGAGGACAAGGGAGCGAGGGAGGTAGGGTTCACTTTTTCATTTCCTTTGATTATTTAGATTGAATGCTCTCGAATGCAATCAAACTATATTTGAGTTGAGATTTCAATGAACATGGCCAACTGATTGATTTTGAGTGGGGTTTATTTTATGTCCTGTTGTGCTGATATTTGAACTGAGTAGAATATTGTCATGTTAATTTGGTCTCGGCCTTGAGTACTTTGTTCTCTCCTCTCACTTCGCCCTAAAACAAAAGAAAATATTTGTCATATACTAATCTTTCTAGAGTAGAATACTTTGGAATAAGAGGATTGTTGATGAAGTGCAAATCTACACCGTCTATATTAATTTGGACATCACATGTAGACTTCCGCTGTCTAACATCAGTGGAATGTTGGTTAATGTAGCAGTAGAGGCGGAGGAGGAGGAGGTCGAATGCGTGACAGGAGGATGTCCCCACCTCGTTATTCCCGCTCTCCCCGCTATTCTCGTTCACCACCTCCACGCGGGCGGGCGAGATCAAGGTCACACAGCGCTGGTTATTATTCTCCACCTCCAAAACAACAAAGGCGATACTCTAGGTAAGTGGTTAACCCGTTTCTTCCCTTTGCTCTTTTGTTTCCCAACAGGCAATGGATGCTTTGGTACTTTGGACTTGTTCATTTGTTAGTGTCCATCTCATGTGTTGTGACTTGGTTTATGATTCTGTGAGCAGATCGGTGTCACCTCAAGAGAGGAGGTATAGCAAAGAGAAGTCATTCTCACCTCGATCAAGGAGCCGCAGCCAGACACCACCTCCAAGGAGGGCACCAAGTGAGGAGGGAAATGGGGTTAGGAGGAGCAGGAGTCCCAGCAGAAGCCGCAGCCCACCACCGCCACCTAAAAGGAGCAGGAGCCCAGCAGATGATTACCCCAGGGACAGGGAGCTCAACGGAGGCGATAGGTCCCCTAGCCCATGATTCTTCAGCCTGGATGGAGAGTTGTTATTCATGTTCGTTTTATTTCTTCTTCTAAAACGGTCACCGAGTTGTCCTGCAGCGTATTAGCGGATTTGGTATGTGATGTAGGTTGCAATATGCTTGCTTCTGCTTTTCTTTTGTCTTTGATTCGGAAACCTGTAGCATGGTTGAGCTGCTGCAACTTGAAGTTCTGTTGTTTTTCATCAGACCAAGGTACTTGAACATAATGTTCTGTTTTGTACTTGAACATAATGTTCTGTTTTGTTTTTGGCTACCATTGATCACTAGCTGGCGTGACTTATTGTGCTGTTTTCATGAACGTTACATATCTGGAAACTGGTATCATTAGCCTTTTCTGTTTGAGCTCTAGTATGGCTTCACAATCGACACCGATTGTACCATCTTATTCGGAAGAAAAGGGAGGGCGAGAGTTGCCCTTTGAAAGTACACTCTTCAGACATCAATGACTGGAAACGCTAGGCCTAGGGGACGTAGTACATTGGATTGGGGAACTTGAAAGATTTGGTCGCCATGGCCTCTCCCACCAAGCTGCACCACTGGTGCGAATAGTTGGCATGCAGCCTGTACCCTTCCTTCACCAGCTGCAACCTCTTCTTCGACTTGAGCTCTCTCATCTGCAACCCTTTGTCTGCTTTTTCCCTGCATCCCACGCCAACCCATATCAGTATCAACAACGAATTCGCAGTTTCTGACTTCAACAAAATTCAACCAAATGTTCTTGGTTACCCGAAAAGCAGGCGATCCCAGCCGGTGAATCCTGCATTGACAAGGTTCCTCTCGGTGGCGCTCCTCTGACCCTCCCCTCTCCCGCTTATTATGATCAACGCAAAACCCAGTTCCTTAAGCTCGTTGTAGAGCTTCAGGCTCGCCGGGAAAGCAGGGGCCACCGCCATTTCCACCCACTCGTAGTACACAGTTAAGTTCACTGTCTTGTAGCTGTGAAACAAATTAATTTATGAGGCTCGAACCGTGAATTGGGGCAAATCAATTAAAGCTGTGCAAAGTTAAAAGAGTACCCGAACTCGTAGTCTCGGAAGTAAGGCAAATTGGTGAGGAGGGTCTCGTCGAGGTCGAAAACCCAGGCGTCCTTGCCGTCGCCGGCGATGTCCACGGTCTTGGCGTAAGCGAGCGCGGCGTAAGCCAGCATGTCGGAATCGGCCTGGATGCCGATTCCGGTCATGTAGTCTTCCACGTACTGGCGACACCGCAGGGGTTTGTTGGAAGCAAGATCGCCGGCATTGTTCGTCTCTACCGACAGCCTCCAGCTGTCGCAGAAGACCTTGTCATCGTAAGCTACGGCGCCGTCCTGGTGGTGGGAGGCGGCGGTGGGGAGCTGGATTGTTGACTGAGAAACGGCGGCGGTGAAGATGAGGCTGAAGAGGGAAATGAGGGGGAGAAGAAGAAGAAGAGAGGCAGAGGGCGCCATCGGGGAAATCGAACGATCAAAATTTGGTCAGGTTAGAGATAAGAGGCGATGATAGCCATTAAAAGGCATTTAGCCTGCCCCTGTATTTCTTTTGGAGCTTGGCCAGTCCTTGTGGATATTGGATAGAGTACTTATCCTTTCTTTTTCCCAGAATAGTTTGGATTCTGTGAACCAAAATGTTCAGAAGTTTTTTTTAAATGGCAAATACGACCACTAAATCCAGGTTTTTGGAGACACAATTATCTTAATAAGAAATTCACAACGTTCCCTATGGTAGTAACAAATGTGAAATTTTGTGGAATACTGGAATATATCGATAAAACATTTACCATTTAGCTATGATCTATTTGTACTCATCAATCTTCGTTTGACAGCGCATTTCGAGTACTATGAGTTTACAATGTTGAATCGTTTTGAACTTGGCAAGCTTAACTACAAGAACTTAACAACATTTATATGCAAAAGGCTACCATAATAATACATACAAGAGAAAGTGACGATGGTCAATATTTAACCAATCATCGATAAGAGAACATTTTTCGTCACAGAACCGCTCTTAAACTTACGTAAGTCCTACTAACTAGCCTACGAAGCACATCTTTACTCAATGAGAACAACAGAGCATGTAAAATGACAGAACCAACGAAAGACATGCTAAATGACATCCTTACAAGAAACACTCCCACTTGGTACTAATTTACAACGAAATCCATGCTAATAGCCATTCCGGCTCGTTAAAGTTTACGGACAGATAGATACATGAAAAAACTAGCTAGTTTAAGATTCACGACTCTTTTGCAGAATTGGGGGACCCTTCAAGCTCAAACTATAGTTGTTTCTGCACAAGATTGCAGTAGCGGGAACATGTCCTAGGATCTGGGACAGTGCTTGATGCAGTGCACAGAACAGTTAATAGCCAATACCAGTGGGAAAGCTTGGAGCCTTCTTTTATAAGCAGCGATTGTACAGAAATTCATGTGACTGAGTTCTTAAAACATGCACTACCAGAAAGAATCCAAGTAAAAGGAATCATACAAGCTTAGAACCAGTCATAGATCGAACACAAACTACCATCTTCATCTGATTGTTGTGTCCTTGAAACCAAAACAACTCTCGAGCCTCAGGAAAGACATAGCAATCCACAAATGCGCATTAGATGCTGTAGCCAACCCACCTCCCATCTTTTATCTCCATGTCGCCCCTAGTTCCAAGTCGTGCCGTGCCTTCAAAACCACTTCTGGTCCATCTATAGTCTGAGAACTGAGATTTAAGCATGATTGGATTCGACGACCCTTCTTAATAGCAACAAGCCAACACATCTAAAAAGGGCAACATCAGATGCATTATGCGAACATTGAGCCAGAATCAGGAAATGTAACCATAATGGATTCGGCAACTTGGAAGTTGATATCCAGCTCCCATTAGGAACACCCAATTCGAAATATACGAAATTGGCACCAAAAGAAGGGAAGGGGAACGACTTTGGAAAATATGTCTCCATACCCTAGGCTTAAGAATTGGACTCATTAAATAAAATGTACACAGAATCATTATATCGTATTTCTCGATAATACCGACAAGATGAAACAATTGGAACAGTACCTCGATCACAGAGTCTTAACAAGGTATCTGATTTCTGGATGGACTCAGGGAAGCAAGTAGGGCGAACTATCATGTCATTGCATCCAGTTCTGCGATCTGAAGCCCTAAAATAGTCAGTAGAAACAATAGACTCTGACAAAAATTATCTGTGATAAGAAATGCAGTATGAGATCAACTTTCCATTCCATCATTGCATTCATCACACCAACACTGTCATAGAATTGGCCTCTTCACCTTTGTCTTAAACATGTTCTCAGTTCGAAGACGCTTCACGCCTTGATTTTCAAGTTACCACCCATCATTGCATTCACCACACCACTACTGTCATAGAATTGGTCTCTTCTATTTGTTCTTAAACTTGCTCTCACTTTATAGAAGCTAAACACCTTGGGAAATCACCAAATGTGATACAAAAGGGGGAGACACCCTTGCCACAAGAAATCAGTACTCAATAGAAAGGTACTTGAACCTATAACACGCTTAGACAGAGGAATATTCAGTACAAAGGTACCTGAATCTATAATGTACATTTCTAGAATGTTTGATTTCCCTAAATTAGAATCGCAATAAAAGTATGTTAGAATCATCCTTTATAGAGCTGTAGCGTATTATTATGCTTCGAGTTGGAAGAAGATAGATTCGTCCACATACAGAGCTGACTGGAAGTCGAGAAACGACAACAAGCCTGAACACAATTCTGACCACATTGCCTCGTACCGCACATAACTGGAGGAGGGCTGGCAATGTGCGGCAAAATAATCAAGTGGAACTCCAACTCCAACCCTGACACCACTGGAAAAGAACAGTTGAAGTAAATAGTACAGAGGATGAAATCAAACCTGCCTCCTAGACCGCAATAGAACTGTCGATAGAGAAAAGCCAAAACAACCATTTTAGCAGGAGTAGGAGCAGTGTCACTCAATAGATGCAGTGCAGGGACCAGATACAACACCCTTCCAAATGTTGTCACCAATAAATCGGAGAGCAATGACAACATGTGGTATCAAGTAAAAACCCAACTCTCAAACAAGAATAAGCACCAACCATTTTATGGATCTGCAGCTTGCAGAATATCGCAACACAAGCAGAGTTGTATCTCAACTTGAAGGCTTTGAATTGATCGTAAGGAATAACAGAAAGCGCAGGCGAAAGTATTAGCAGCACTGTTATGCAAAGAACCAAAGTTATTAGATAACCCAACAAAAAAGTGAGTAGCTCATATGAATTCAAGCGATCACTCAAGACTTAACTTTCGTCCATGCTTCCTCATTGACTAGGATCACTTGAATACCACACTAGTTTCTGGCCTATAGACCAGATAGGATTAGAATCAGAACTCCTAGCTTCCCAAGATTCATAAATGCAAGATGTCTATACTGCAGGCAAAACTACCTCATCTGAGTTGCCAATGCATTACCTCTGGCATTGAAAAAAGCTGCAATACTAACACTGCACACATGTAGGCCACTCGACCCGAGGTATCTTCTTGGTTCTACTATCAGTAGTGAATTATATATAACAGGTCACTCCAACGAAGTCTGCCAATCTGCTAGTGCTTACTTCAGGCTCTTTCAACCATAAGCCATACCTCCAACCCAAAAAATATGAACCCTAGGAAGCATGGGAATGAAGCTCAATAACGATTCTAAAGCTGCAAACTGGATTACAGCCGTCAATCACCAGTCTCCCCGCAAAACGGACCTGGTAAATTACTCTCTGGGCTAATTTACCCATACAGATCATCCCCCCTGCTATCTTTTGACACCCCAACTACAAAAGTAAACAAGAGTGCAAGACAAAGAAGTCTCGAATGTGCATCACTTTGAAGTATGAACCATTGAAAGTTATGCCAAATAGTAGACACTTAAAACTTAAACTAGACAAATAGGGCATGTCATAGATCTAACACAAAGTACCATCTTTCTCTAGATGCTTGATACTTTAAAGCACTATAAGTCCAGAGCCTCAAGGAAGAATACAACAGTACACAATAGATTCATGGCACCATACAGAGGTGGTCATAGCACTGAGCAGAGTCCGAGAACCAAGATTGAAGCATGCTAGGAATTTGCCCATTTATTGAGGTCTTCTCTTACTCGGATCGAATATAACATGCGAATTCCAGAACCCTTCTCAATACAAAAAACCAGCACATGTAAAAAGGACAGCATTGCAAGCAAAGATTCGAATATTGATGTGAAACCAGAACCTGTAACCATAATGTGTTCAACAATAGCAACATAACCTTCTTGCTTCCATAATACAAATGTTATAAGCCTTCAAGATGTCTATATACAGCTCCCATCGTGCTTAGGAACTCAATATGGTTCCTTCCATTATCAAGATAATGCAGCTGGCAGTTTACAGATGACTTAGGTTAGGAACTCCTGGTTGAAATCAGAATTTTGAAAATCGGTCGTACAGGAAACACGATAAGAATAAAGGGGCCTCAAAACTTGTAACTCAAAAGTTCCATGACTTTTCAAAAGTAATTCTAGTCGAGAAACACGTTTTCAGAGTCGCATCGAGTGCCTTACCAACACAATATCAGTTCTAACAGGTTAAAATTAACACTGATCATAATTTCTTTTTCAGGCCCCATTGCCATGAACTTTCATTAAATTTAGGTCAAATATAATAGCCGCAACTGAAGTTGGCACCAATAGAAAGGCGCAGCCTCGAACACATGACTCCATATTTACTGCTTCAGAAGCAGGATATCAAAAAAATTGTACACAAAATCACCAAATTCTCAATAATACCAAGTTGAAACAATCAGACCAATTGATAGGATACCTTGGCCGCAAAGTCTAATAAGAGATCTGTGTTCATGGACTTGAGGAAGCCAAACCCATCTAAAAAGCATGCATCTCAGCCTCGTATTCTGCAAAACCTCAGATTATGAATGAACACAGGATCTCGCAGGATTGTCAAGAATACCAACGAATCGAAACAATTAGAACAACTGATAAGGTACCATGGACGCAAGTCTTAACAAGGTATTTGCATCAAGCCCATACAGCCTACAAATTCAGCAAAACCCTCAGATCAAGAATAAGTGCCCCTGGCTTCTAAACCTATAATAAAGGATCAATAGAAAATGTAGAACATTGGAAATGATGATCTGACATGCAAAATAGAGGATGAGATCAACTTTCCACTCACTCTTTGCATTCACCAAACCGCCACTGCCATAGAATTGGTCTCTTCACCTTTGTCTTGAACTGGACAATGCCTACTTTATAGACACTTCCGGTTGAGAAATTATGCTCACACTATAGAGGAGATATTTATGCCACGAGAAACTATGCCTTAAGCCCTGTTCGATAGAAAAGGTACCTGATTTGAAATCTGCCCACACAGAGTTAGCATATTCAATATATGTTCTCGCAAATAACTCGAAGCACGCTAGGATAATCAACTTCCCTCCATATTCATATAAAGCGAAGCGACAGTTAGAAAGCAAGTTATTATGCTAACTGGGAAATGGAGCAACTACAACAGACCCAAGCACAATCCCTCTAAAGACCGCACTGCACAAAACTAGAGAGCTGGAATGTGCACAAAACAATCAAGTGCAACTCCAATTCTCGGACACCACTGAAACAGAGCTGAGGAAATATTGTAAATAAAACAGAGGATAAAGTTCCCTTATATGACCCCAATAGAACTATCGATGGAGAAATGCCAAAACAAACACTTCACTGGAGGCGGGACATTGACACTCAAAAGATGTAGTGCAGGAACCAGATGTACTACCCTTCCTAATGTTGTAGATAGAAGAGTTATAACAAACATGTGTCGTATCAAGTAGAATTCTAATCTCCAAACAGGAACTGAAAGCTATCATTTTACAGATTTGCTGCTTTGGGGAAGTCGTGAAACATGCAGAGATACATCTCAACTACATCATTTGGAGTAACAGAATTAACAAGCAAAGATATTAGCAGCACTCTAAAGCAAAGAAAATTGATCTCATCGAATTGTTTTAGAGAGAACTTCGATTGCTGACTTCCTGTATATGCCAGTGTTTACATTGAGGACTAGTACAATGCTGAAGAGATGTAATAAAGCTGAAGTACATGAGTCCAGTCTAGAAAGTGCATGGTTTATGAAGATCACATAATGGAGCTCGGCTCAAGTCTAATGATTAACAAAGTGCAGCAGACAACATTATATTAAATAAAATATGCTTCTGTCACAAGGCGGCAAGAACATAATCAACGAGGCAATTTCGAGATGAATTCAACACAAATATCCCAATCATAAACTATGCCTACAAGATGGGACAATGATTGCAGGCTCTTAAACTGCCAGCTGCATACAGGCAACTTTTCAACCGCATCTATGAGATCCAAAATATAACCAAAACTTACAGACTTTACTTATGTCACCAACAGTTTAACCAGTTCAGCCACAGAGGTTTCATGTTTGCTATTGTTTCACATCCCCCAACATTATACAAATGTGTATAAGACAGAAAGAAGCCTAACGTGCACCACTTTGGATTCTGATAGCAGTAAGGTGCCTAATTTCAAAGGACTGACTAATCACCCATTTACTACCCTTAAGGTTTACCGACAGAATCGATCAGAGGAAGATGCATCCACCTTCACAACAAGATACCTAATCTTATGCAACCAAGGCCATCTTCAAACAAGCCCAAGTTATGCAAAAGACAACTAGTTTAAGATTCAGGACACTTTTGCAAGCCCTACCTCAATGCTTGAATCAAGTGCAGACACATTGCATAACTAGGGACCCCTCAAGTTCAATATTTTGACATTAGACTCCTTCACACTACACTGTTAGCTGTTCAACCACAAGGAACCACGAAAGCTATACCAAATTACTATATTTACAAGCTACCAGCTTTCTGAGGTACCTTGGATTATTAAGACCACAATATATCCAAGGCTCCCCGAAGAGCAGAATAATACACAGGAAAGTTTCACGAACATCAAAGACAACCACAACAGCCAGATGTATCCCAACTCATTCCCTCTATTTTCACGATCATGTGCGCCAAGTTAGAATCGTGCTTTCAACAAAACAATACATATTGTTAAAAGGCAGTACTAGTGAGAAAGCCTGATAAGGAAGTTGTCTCACTGTGTTCTGACATGCAACTGCTAGGAAAAAATCCATGAAATCCATACATAAAAGGAAGGGACAGCCTGGAAATCAGAATGTGTTGTACCTTGTAACACGGCCACTGAGCCATGCTACAGGTGTCATATATCAAGGTGCATGGCTCAGGAGTGTTTTACCTCTCGAGTTGAAAATATGTAAATCAGCTGAAGTATCTTTTTGCTTCTGCTGTCAACCGTACTAGTCGGTAAGACTGGTTTGACAGTATGCCAGTAGAACATGATCCTCAGCAAACACAGGAATCAAGCTTAATAGTTCTAAGCTGTAGTAGACTTACATTACAAACCCTCAAGTCACCTATTGCACCTTAAAGCAAACCTTGGTAAGTAAGAGAGCATTTCCCCCTGCTACCATTTTTTAACTGCAATTTACCAAACTACGAAAGTATACCAGAGTACAAGACAAAGGAGCATTAAACGAGCGCGGCTTTATATTTCAATAGCAACCGTGAGGAACTATACTAGCTGTAAATTTTGGAAAAAACCTTAGATCAAGAATAAGCACACTTACCCTCTAATAAACCTAATAAAATGGTCAATAGGGAAAATAGAACCTGAAATGACACATAATTCGAAGTATAGCATTAGATGAACTTTTCACTCCATCATTGCATTCACCATGCCACCACTGCCAACAAAAAGATAGCCTGAAACTGAAACGTGCCCAAACAGAAATGATCTGTTCTCCTAAACAACTCAAACCATCATGGAATTATCGATTGAATTATCCAAAATGAAAGTCTGTTTGATTGCTCATTTATGGACTTGCAACGCATTATTATGCTTGCAGCTGGGGAAAGGTAGATTCGCCCAGATATGGAGCTAACAAGGAAGGGGTGCGACGATAACAAGCCTAAGCACAATTCCTCTGCAACCGCATTACTACATGCTGCAGAAAACAGGAGGAGACAGCAATAAAAACTGTCGATAGAATAAAGGTGAAACAAACATTTTAGTAGGAGCAGGGACAAGATTGCTCAATAGTTGTAGTGCATGAATCTCCCAAAGGTCGTCGCTAAGAGTTTGCAGCATGAAAGGGCATGTGTGATATCAGGTAAAAGTCCGATTTCAAAACAAGAAGCAGCAATGAAAGCAACCAGTTTATGGATCAGCAGCTTGGGAAAAATCGTGAAACAGGCAGAGTTATAACTCGACTTCAAGAATCTGAATCCATTATTAGGAGTAACCGAATGCACTGATGAAGGAAGTACGATAATGCAAAGAACCAATGTTTATGGATTTCCCTCCAGAAGGTTAATCGAGAACCATGAGTCTCTCCAACCAATACCATCATTGGCATGGACACAAAAACAAACACAAAGATCGAGTATGGTTAACCTTTAGATTCCTGTTCCATTCAATGAATCGCATCGTGATGCTCATCCAGTCTGAGAATCCCATTCATCTTGTTGAATCTGTTGAAAGCAGAGTAACCGGGGCATAAAACAAGAAAACTCTCCTCACATAAATACAAGGACCTGAAATATTATCTGAATCATTTTTACAGAACTTGGTTTCCGTTTGTGTGTCCATCTGCAGGCTCTTAAACTGCCAACTTCATTTAGACGACTTTTCCAGCTGCATCAATGAGATCAAAAATAAAACCAATACTAAGAGACTTGCCCAGCCAAAAACTAATAGGTCCAACCCACCTTTTACCATCAATGAGTTAATAGTCGATGGTAAATTTTGCATAAGTCCAGCTAATTAGCCCACTAAGCACTTCATTGAGATTACTCAATGAAACAACAGAGCACATAAAATTACTGAAACAACAGAGCACATAAAATAACATCCACACAGGAAACACCCCCCACTTAGTACCAATTTTATTCTCGGCCCCTTCCACATATTTTACTCGGAATAATATAACAATGGCCTGGCAAAATGCTTGTGCTGAGGTTATTCCAACCAGAGAACATTTTTCAACAGAAAAAATTGATCCTCATGAAATTGAAGTCAGGGAATCAAGCTCCAAGCCTAACTATTCTAAAGCTAACAGCAATTATCAGCATAACAAACCATCAACCATTGTACTTAATATATTTAAAGAAAGCCATCGCTTTAGATTTTGACAGAACCTGACTAATCACGAAGGATAGATAAATCGATCCTTCAAAGAATCACAAAGGACCAGCTATTATCCATTCCCTGCTCGTTAAAGTTTACGGACAGATAAATCGACCCTCCACAGAATCACAAAAGACCGGCTAATAGCCATTCCCTGCTCGTTAAAGTTTACAGACAGATAAATCGACCTTCCTACGCAATGTACCTATTCTTATGCAGCCTCTTAGACATCTGTTAGCATGCCCAATACTCTTTTGCATGCCATACCTCTCACTTATAAAAATATGCAGCCACATTTGCAGAATTGGGACCCTTCAAGATATGGGACCTTGCCTGATGCAGTACACAGAACAGTTAATAGCCAATATACTATATGAGAAAAAGAGCTTAGGGCCTTCTTTATTAGCAGCAACTGTACATAAATTCGTCTGACTGAGTTCTTCAGACATGCAACTACCATAAAGAATCCAAGGAAAAGGGAACATACAAGCTTATTACAGACGAGTCATATATCTAGCACAAACAACCATCTTCCTCCAATTGTTGTGTCCTTGAAACCAAAACAACTCCAGATGTAGTCTCCATATTTTATCTCCATGTCGCCCGTGGTTCCAAGTCTTGCCTGCAAAACCACTTATGGTCCATCTATGGTCCGAGAAGGGACATTTAAGCATGATTGGATTCCACAACCCTTCTCAATGGCAACAAGCCAACACATCTAAAAAGAACAGCATCAAAAGCATTATTCCAACTTTGAGGCAGAATCACAACCGGTTGTAACCATAATGGATTCAGCAACTTGTAAGTTAATACCACTGACACCACTGAAACAGAACAGATGACTCGTAGTATATGGAACAGAAACTAAATCAAAGCTGCCTTCTAGACACGAATTATAGAACTTGTCTATAGAGAAAAACCAAAACACCATTTTAGGAGTAGGGACAGTGCAGCTCAATAGTGTAGTGCAGGGACCAGTTATAATACCCTTCCAAAGGCCTCCTAGACCCGAATTATAGAATTTTCTATAGAGAAACCAAAACACCATTTTAAGAGTAGGGACAGTGCAGCTCAATAGTGTAGTGCAGGGACCAGATATAATACCCCTTCCAAAGGCTGCCACCAATAGATTTCAGAGCAATTACAGCATGTGGTATCAAGTAAAAACAAAATTATCCCAATCATAAACTCTGCCTAGAAGATGGGACAATGACTGCAGACTCTTAAACTGCTCATGTCACTACCAGTTTAACCAGTTCAGCCACAGAGGTTTGCTGTTTTGCTATTTTTCGACAGTCACCGATATCACACAAACGTATGTAAGATGGAAAGAAGCCTAGTGTGCGCCACTTTGGATTATGATAGCAGTAAGGTGACTAATCACAAAGGACAGACTAACCACTCGTTTACTGACCGGTTAAAGTTCAACGAGATGTAGCCACCTCCACAACAATATTACTACATTTATGCAACCGATGCCATTTGTAAACAAGGCCACCAAAAAAAGCTAGCTAGTTTCAGATTCAAGAAACTTTTGCATGCCTTACCTCAATGCTTGAATGAAGTGCGGACACCTTTCCATAACAGGGACCCTTCAAGCTCAATATTTTGAGCTTAGACTCCTTCACACGAGTTGCTGTTAGCCACTCAAACACAAGGATCCAAGGAAGCTTATACTATATTTAAAAGCAACCAGCTTTCAGAAGTAGCCAAATTGATCTCGAGACCACAACATATCCAGGGGATCCTGAAGGCAACCAAAGCATCCAGATGTAGCCCAACTCAGTCCCTCTATTTCTATGATCATGTTAGAACCACGCTTTCAACAAACCAGAACATTCCGATAGGAAGGGTGACCGTTAAAAGCCAGTACTGGTGAGAAAGCTTAATAAGGAAGTTCGTCTCACTGGGTTATGAAATGCAACTGTTAGAAATAATCCAATCAAGGGTACGGTAAGTGTCTTAACGGGCTGGGTACTTGAAACTAACACGAAGAAGCAGACAACCATTATGTCATCTTTTTATCCCACCTATGAATTATCCCACAACGACGGATCAAATCAACTTTTGAAGCGGGACAAAGAACTTTAAGCGACCAATTTGATTATGCTCCTCTTGCTACCCAATCCATAAAAGGAAGGGCAGATTCGGATAACATATCACGACATTATGTCATCTTTTTATCCCACCTCTGAATTATCCCACAACGACGGATCAAATCAACTTTTGAAGCGGGACAAAGAACTTTTAAGGGACCAATTTGATTATGCTCCTCTTGCTACCCAATCCATATAAGGAAGGGCAGATTCGGATAACATATCACGACATTATGTATCTTTTTATCCCACCTCTGAATTATCCCACAACGACGGATCAAATCAACTTTTGAAGCGGGACAAGGAACTTTAAGGGACCAATTTGATTATGCTCCTCTTGCTACCCAATCCATAAAAGGAAGGGCAGATTCGGATAACATATCACGACGGGGAAAGTCATCAACGGATCAAAGCAACTTTTGAAGCGGGACAGAATTTTAAGGGACCAATTTGATTATGCTCCTCTTGCTACCCAATCCATAAAAGGAAGGGCAGTTTGGATAACATGCCAAGACGGGAAAGTCACCGACGGATCATAGCAACTTTAAGCGGGACAGAGAACATTAAGGGACCAGTTTGATTATGCTCCCTCTTGTTACAAAGGTCGGATTCAGAAAACATACCGCGACGGGGAAAGTCACCGACGGATCAAAGCAACTTGTGAAACGGAACAGAGAACTTTAGGGACCAATTTGATCATACTCCTCTTACTACCCAATCCAGGAAAAGAAGTGCAGATCCGAAAAACATACCACGATGGGGAAAGTCGCCGGAGCCAGAGAATTCGACCCTCGACACCGTAATCATCCAGCGACCAGTAATGGCACCCAAATCAAAGTCTTCTAGAACTGGAAAGTGACGACTTGTATCGAGGCATTTGTACAGTTTTTCTCAGAATTTCTAGGGCAACCGGGCAGGCCGAAACAAGACAGCTTTAACGAGCAGAGGAGATATCGATTTTCTATGAAAGACGTGAAGAATTCACAAAAACCTAGAACACGGAACGAAGGAGGGAGAACCGACCTCATCAATCTCGTCGCCCGCAATCGGAACCCTAAAAAGGAAGAGCCAAGCCGAAAAGAGCCTTCTTGTCTATTTCCAATCGGATCCGACCTTCTTGGTGATGGCCGCAACTGTAACAATGGCAGGAGGAAGTGGCCACTTATATAGATTTTCGAAGGCGGCTTTAAGTCGGTTCCCTTGCCAGCTGTACGAGGGCACGCGTTAATTGAACTGTAGGATAAGTCGGTTCCCTTGCCAGCTGGACGGACACGTACATAACACGTATTTTCACTTTTCTGGGTTTGAAGTCGGTTAATACTGCCAGCTGGACTTCCCGCCTTACGAAATGCTGAATGAGATGGACCCCGGCAAACGAAGAAAAAGGCCCAGAACTCATTATGTCATCATTGCTGGCCCAATTGTAGTTCCCGAACTCAGCCCATTGAGAAATATACTGCTATGCAAATTTTATTGGGCCCATTATGCGCCAAACAGTAACAAAAAGGTTTGGCCCGTTGTCGGATTTAGCTCGGGGCGTGAGTTGCAACTAGGGCTGGCTATTTGGTCCGGACTGTTTGGTTTTACCCGAAACCGGACCGTATAATCCGGACTGGGATCGGATAGCAAAGAATCCAAACTCATATTCGGGCTTAGATTTGAGGTAAAAAAAAAACGGATAAAGACCGGATAAGAGACCCCAACACTCAAATCCCCACAAGCTCAATTTAAAATCAAGATCAAATTGGGACCGGACAGGGTCAAGACCGGACCGGATCAAGACCGGACTGCATACAATCCAATCTTTGGTCCTTATATTCCCGAAAAGACCAGACTGGAACCGGATCAATTTGGTCCAATTTAACCGGACCGGACCGTATAGCCACCCCTAGTTGCAACTGGATGGGTCGGCTACTTGGCTATTGGGAGTCTAGGGACAACAACAGAGGGTAACTGATCCAACTCAACCAATTATTAAAATACCATACCGGCGGTTCAACCTGAAAAACCTCTTACCGGAAACAAAACCAATGAACCACGGTTTTAACATAAAATACCATACCACTGACTTTTCCGATACGACCTCCGATACAACATTTCAATCCTTGAACTCAACACAGTTAAGCGGCTAAACTTGAGACTGAAGACGATCGGACGAGTGCGGATAAAACTATATCTTATTATTTACTAGTTGGGTCGGATATGAGTTTTTTCAATACTCAACCCGCATAACCGAATCACACTCAAATGAATGATCATGAAATCATATGGACTATCAGGCATCAGCTGGTACACATACAAAAATATGAAGTCCATGGATGCAAATTGTGCAGCTAGTTGCACTATTAAGAGCATCAACCAACAGATTACAACCATGCTTATTGATTTATTGGTATATTCATTTCATTACATTATATTTTATTATAGTAAAGCAATCTCCGTTGTTTTATTCAGTATATCTGTTGTGATATTAATATTATTGTTATCAATTGCCACTATAAGTGTTGAAAGAAAATTTATATCAATAAAATATGTGAAATTACACTTTTTCAGTCCAATGAGTGATAAAGTAGGAAATTATGTTTTGGTGCAATACATTGAGTGTGATCTTCGTGATAGTTTGAATGATTAATGTACTTTAGAAAATGTATGAATACATCGTATATTATTGTAAATTTTAATTTAATGAAGTTTAGGTATCTAATTACGTTACATAGTGATGTATATGTGTGGTTGGATACATAGTTAGTAAAATACGATACAAGTATGTTACATATAAAATACGTACGGATATTTTACTTCATTTCTAAACTGATATTACATTTAATAGTACATCTACCGTCATCAATATATAAAAGTAATTATTTTAAAAATAAATAAATATATAAATAATAGTTAAGTTAACAATTTAGCTTATTAAATATACATATTAAACATGTTATACGGTTATACTATCATCTCCAAAATATAATAAAAACAACAAAATAATTTTCCTTTTCCCTATACATTCTCATTTCTTTCTGGAAAGCACTAACTTGTACAAAATTACCAATTTAATAAATACTAACAACCACCGCAGCAAAAAAAGAATCCCCCTCCAAAACCAACCAACATTAGGACGTGGGTGGTGACATGCCAGCCAAATCCACCTACCGATCCATGGGCCCTCAGCCAGTAAGGCCCAGCTATTGTCCCCATTTACAGCTCAGCCCCAATCATCAACCCATGAAAGGAGGCCAAAAATCCAAATGAAATAAACAAATCAACCCTACCCAACAAATTAACCTTAAACCACTCGCTCAAACCAACAGTTAAACTAATTTTTACCGCCCGCTCCCACCCTATTGGTCATCACAGCATTAAACTTTTTTTTTACCTCCCTCACCTCACAAACCATCCTGATCATCATGGCAAAGCTCCTTCCTCAACTTACTCGAAAACAGCCTACAAGCGTCCATGCTAAGGTCGACCGCAGCGGATAGCGCCACGAACAGCGCAGCATCCCCCGTGCAGGTCACGTGCTGGACCCCGACCTGAACCACGGGCCGACTCACCTTCCCTTCCCCTTCCACGGTCGAACCCATCACGAACCCCTTCGCCGACCCCGACCGGGAAACCGGTTCCCTGACCGTCCTCCCGTCGATATCGAACCGCCCGCCCTTCCTCACCCCGACGCTCCCCTCGGCTATGGCGACCCGACCGCCGTTGCTGTCGGTCATCAGCTCGAACTTGTACCCCAGCCCATCCACCGCGCCGCCGCGCTCCCTCCACGCCTCGAGCCGGCCCCACGGCTTCCACGTGCTGACCGAGAACCCGTGCGGGCGGAGGATCAGCCACGCCCCCGGGTTGGACCGGGAGACCCGGTCCGACCCGGGCGAAGGGACGAACGGGGTGATCATCGACGCGGCGGCGACGGGCGAGCCGGAGAGGTCGTGGATCGTTATCATCCACCCCTTGCGCTCCCGCCGGCTGGCCTTCTCTCGCTCCCGGGTGGAGAAGGTTTTGGTCCACGTGCCGTTGGAGGATGCGTTGTTGAAATCCGATAGCAGAGATCTGGAAAGAAACAAAATTTACAGAGTTGGGTTAGAGGTGGAGGAGCTGTTAATCACGTAATTAAGAAGATGTTGTTATCATCAAGAATCAAGATCAAACTAAAGCAGATTTTATCACATGGTATGGATTCCTTTATGTTGGTGGTGTTGTTGTGTTCGACTGTTGAAGAGATTTGGGGAATATATTTTGGTCTTTGTTTGACCAAACTTCCCAGTTTAGTTAGTGACCATTATTAAGGCACAAGACGACAAAAAGAACACAAGTTGAGCAACATAGTTAGGAATTATCCTATTAGCTACCACAGCTAAAAGGTCAACATTTGCCAACACCATAGCATCCGATCTAATGACGCGAACTATGTGAACAAGTTCTCACAGTTGGACTCTGAGTACCATAATCGAGTTGTTACGAGCGATTTTGGAGCTCCAATTTGGGTTGGGTTGTGTCAAATTCCAACTGGAGTGCATAAAGGTTATTGGGGAGACTTATGTGGAGTCAATTTTGGATATTGGAGGAGACATAGGGACAAGGGCTATTATGAGTTATGAGTTATGACTATGAACATTATTACTATTTTACCATGATAGAAGGAAACAACACAATAATAAAAATGATGAAATAGATAAGGTGGTGGTGGGCCTTTTGGGCTGTGGCCCAAAATTTTGGAACAGCAAGGCCATGTGTGGGTGTTGGTTACCACTTACCAGCTAGCAAAAGCTAATCTACAAAGGGAAAATAGATTGACAAACAAACCCACATGCCTAACAGCTTTTATCACACAACACACCAATAACAAGCCAGAAATTTAGCCAATATAGGGCCCCTCCTAGATGACTTAATGACAAACCAACCATAAATCTTATCCTTTACCCCCAAATTTCACCCTATCATTCTATTAATTTATCGAAAAATTGGAACGATATCGAGAAAATTAAGCGTATTTACGTTTTCAACTTACCGGGAGCGGGAGTTCCGGTCAGCGCTGAACTTGCAGCTGAAGACGGGCTGCCGGATGCAGCCCTGAATCTGGAAAACCACGGGGCTGCACTCGGGCTCCCCGCCGAACTGGAACACGAACCGCGGGTCGGGCTCGGCCCGACAAACCATGTGGATCCGGGCGGCCGGTTTGCCCGGCTGGCAACGGAGGGTCAACCACCCGTTCTGAAACACATTAGTGCCCGACCTGCTGCAGGAATTGGCAGCATTTTCCTTTTCATCCCCCAAATCGAGTTTCAATTGGAGCTTCCCCAGCAGCCTCCCGCCGCTGACCCCGCAATTCCGACCCATTCCGCCGGTGTAGACCGAGACCCGGAGCGGAATCGGCTTTCCGGAGACCCGGCGGAGGGCGGCGGCGTCGAGGTGGAATCCGGGCGCGGAGGTGGTTGTCTCTGGGGCAGAGGAGGAGGAGTCGGTGGTTGGAGGAGAGGGGCATAAGGGTAAGAGAGCGGTTTGGGTGGGGAAGCCTTTGAGTTTGAGGACGCAGAAGCACGGGGTGGCGGTGGGGTGGACGCCGGAGCCGGCGGGCTTGGTGGCGGCGAAGGGGAGTTTTAGGGATAGTGATTCGATGATTAGGCGGACGAATGGGCAGGGATCCATTGTAGCAGTGGTAGTAGTAGTATTGCAGCTATGGTGTTGGGTTTTGTGTTTTTATGTTGTAGATTAGCTAGCTGTGGATGATTAGGTAGCGAAATTGTGGCTGGTGGGAGTGGAAATGTACGCCAGAGGAGAATAGCTGCAGAGAGCTGGAGGCAGGGAGCTTCGTGAACATCTATAAGGAAGGAAGGAATTTGTCGGCTACTTCGCCGTCTATAACGTTCCACTTTTCTTTCTCTCTCTCTCTCTCTCTCGCTCGCTCGCTGTTGTTTGGTGGTTTGGTTTGGTGGGGGCCTGGCTCTTGCTACGGGCCATATGACTATGGCAGCTTGTTCCAACGTTGTAAAACCGGTTTATACAAACAAAGGATTAGAAAACGGTATCGTATTAGCGGTTCGATCAGAAAAATTTCTTACTGGAAGTGAAATTGGTAGGTGGTATTTAGCGGTGTATATGAAACGTTGAATCACTGTTAAACAACGGTTGCAACATATAATTACCCCGAAATTCACCCGGGGTACCATAGAAGGCACCATGTATAACATATCTAATGAAAATTTATCTACATTTACATCTATATTTAAATCACCTACAAAATTAGAAAAAAAATGATAAATCATCATATGTAAAATATATTATACTTGATTTAACCTCAATATTTAACATCCATATTTGTATAAAATATTACAAACATACTGCCAAATGTTCATATTTAAATTCAATTTTTACAATTATATTCATCAAAACAACGTCATTTCTTTAGAAAAAAATTGGACGCATCAATTGGGCCACTGATTTCTTGGTTTTGAACAATATTGATCAGTTTTGACTACCACTTCATAGTTCATACAAATGATATTCCAGTTAATTTTCTAACCGGTACAAATCGTATCGGTCAGCAAATCGCCCTAAAAAGTCATATTCGTTTCTGGTTTTCTTTTGGGAGATGGAAATGGACGAGAGTTGGTTGGTACGTAGTTAAGTGTAGTGAGTATATCGTGCAGGAGTGAATGATGTTGGCTGTTGGGGATAAGATAATGAGTATATGCCAGCCAATTGTTGCATTGTCCTTCTTGTTCATTTTGTATGTTGGAGTATTTTTTGGTGGATTTAAACAACAACAATATTGTACACATTATTATGCTCTTCTTGTTGAAAGGAATCTCTGTGCTCAGTCCTAACTGGTCTGCACTCTCTGTAAAAAAGAGAAAAAAAAACAAGACTTATTTTTGTTTTATTCACCCATTCATAGGGTTTTTCAGACCCAAGAGATATCCAGGTCATAAAATTTTGATGTTGGTGAATACATCTCACAATGTCTTGTGCTTAGCCCGGCAAATCAAATACTACATGGATTTCAATACAATGGAATACATGGGGTATTATGTAAGAAACGTGGATTTTGGACACCCGCGATAACTGGAAAAGAACGAGAATTTAGAATTAGGGATTATGAGACATTAGAAGAAGAGAAATAAACTGATTATGCTTTGTCAATTGGTTATTGATTAATTTTGAGGTAAGACCGAACTACAATATATAGACGATGGCTTAAATCCTAATTGACCTAACATATAAAAATAACTATAATACCCTTAAACCGAATATCTATGTTTCTACCATATTACCAAAGAGTGTTGCATGAATCATAATAGCTATCACTTGGTCATTTGTCTTAACAAGAGGGTCATATTTAGAGATAAAGGTACGAAATATTTTAATGTACGTGATATATGAGTAATCAAGGATGTGACTATTAAGTATGAGCTTATCTGCTATTGATAAATTTAAAGAGTGTTTTCTTTTTAAGAATGTAGCATAAGCTCTATTTGACTAACACACCAGAAACTTATAAGCATTACTTATTTCTTAAAGATAATAATAAAAAATAACATAACCATTTTTGGATTCAAGTTGTAATTATGCATTTGAAAATACCTACAACTTGTAATATGCAATCTTCGACAATATCGTATGGTATGTAGTTGACAAAAAATTTATTCTAGTTTAAGTCTTGCTAGCCAGCCTAATAAAACGCACATCTTTAGCACTTTTGCTGAGAATATGATTTTTCTTTGTATGTGTATTATTATAAATTATAATATATACAACCTACAAGGAGACAATAGTACTACTGTCTACAGGAAAGCAATTTGGCCTCCTTTTTTCTTTTATTTTAAAGAGTAGATACTTAATTACTAATTAGTGTATTACGCTTCCTCTCAAAAAAGAATTAATGATTCCGTTAAATTTTTAGTCTATTGGGTTACTCATACTTCTACATCCTAAGATCTAAACATTGGAAACTAAATTATTGTAAAGAGTATTTTCATCGTACATAAATTCTATTTTTAAATCGAAAAAATTATATAGAGGGTTTAGATATATAGACCATATTATTTTAATGTTGAACATAAAAGGTCGGAAAACGGCCTAAAATAGAGACATAAACACATACATCATTGGATTCAACTCCCTAGATTATTTGTAAAAAAAAACTCCCTAGATTAACATCATTGGATTCAACTCCCTAGATTAACAAATTCAAGTTATATAAACATGTTAAAGCAATGAGAACGGAACAAGAAAAAAAATATTGTTGGCTAAATATGGATGATTAGCTGATTAGTCATATTTGCCCACAAATATTCCCAAAAGAAACCGATCATATACGAAATAATAGTTTTTTCAGATAGTAAAAAAAAACAAAACGGAGATAAGTCGGTGGTCAAGTACGGACTAAATCAATTATAAAAGAGCTTTTTCCTCGTCATAATATTGACAACTCTTTGTTACCTCTTTTATATAGGTAGAATCCTTGATTTATCTTCTACTTGTGTAGGGAGAATGTCATAGACCGAACTACGATGTAAGATGAAAGCAGTGGAAAAAAGAATTCCTGCAAATCTAACCAATGAAATGATAACCATATAGTAAGCATAATTACATACAAACAATTGAAGCCATTGATATATGAAACAAATTACATAAGACAATTGAAGCCATTGAAAAGCATAATTAGTTAATTACCCATTTATTAGTTTAGACATATCCCAAGGGATATTATAACGTCTCCAAAATTGAAAAAGAGAAATCAAGATTTAGGATGGATGGATTATGTGCTTTTTTAGTTACAAAAATAATTTGCCTACTACTCATTAGCTATTGGACCCGAGTAAAGAAAAGGGTAAAATAGGAGGTCATACAACTTGGAAAATGATGATTATTGTGCATAAGTCAAGTGACAGTTCTGCTCTCGGGTCGGGGTAAACCGGGCGACGAATTGGACGGAATGGTATGCGGGTCGGCAGGTCCCGACCCGAAGGATGGTTGGCGCGGTTCGGTTCAGGCTGTCTCCCGGTTGTCAATATGGGGCATGGGCCAGAAGAAGAACACAAAACTTTGAAATGATGATTACTACTTAAATGGTGCTATAAATGATTTTTTTTTTTTTAATTGATATTATTGTAGATATTTATACCTTTGACTTAAGAATTAGTGCTAAGAACTTTTTTGGTATGAACTAATTTAGATATATTTGTACCTTTGACTTAGGAACGAAGAGTAATTATAATGAACAACAATTATTACAAAACAAAGCATGATCGAAGAACATTTTTTTTTTTTTTGCATGAATAATTACTTGCTGCCCCTAAACCCTCCAAAAGCTTACTGATGATAGTGATGTGACAATAATTATTGCTTAGTCTGAAATAATGAAACATTAACACATGCATGAATATCTCTTGACAGCTGCAAAATCATATTACAAGATTATTAATTTTTCTCAATAGTTTTGTGAATGACTTCATGCTCATCACAACCTGACATCACTTTGTGTTCAATCTTCTTACTTCTCATGGATATCAGAGTGACAAAATTAGATACACAAGCAAATTTCATAGAACCCAAACCTCTAATTATATCGATTGAATTATAACATTACTTTTAGGCACTCAGATTGATAGCCCGCGAGAGAATATCTAAATGAAACTCTACTCCCTCCTTTTTCGAGTGGAGATCGCTGTGCTAAATTATCATAAAGCACCGCACGTTCAACAAACATCACAATCGGAGTCGTTGCAAGCTAACATATATATGACACAACTGTTAATTCACGTCAACCAAAAGCATCATCCATCTCGTTGCTCGCCAACAAAATATGGTTAACTAGGCATCCTGTGCAACCAATAACTTTACGTACGTAGAACTCTCTTTTCAAGGTTCGCCATTAGATATGGTAGCATGCATTCAACATAGTGGCGGATCTACGTTGTGAAACTCATACATATGATTAGAAATATACGAGAATTGTATTATGCATTCCCATCTCTCTAGCTGTCATGGTTCAAATCCCCAAAGTCTACGATTTCGATATCGTGATAAGTAAGTCGTACATTATTATCACGGACCTAGAGGTTTAATTATGACACTAGTGTGGAATCATTAGCCTGTATGTATGTATATATTGTCTGATTGGATCAAGATCCTGCAATTTGCCAAGTAACACGACAGTACAGTTGGTCAAATTCATCAGGGAAAATTGTTTGCTGTAATGACAACCCAACAACGAAAATTAATCAAAGTGGGACTGCGGGCAGCAGAAAAAGCCGAAGACAAAGATATCATGCGCCAGACATAGAGAATCACATGCCCGATCCTGGGAGGAAAGGAAAACTTGTCCGCTAATCCACATTGTGAGTCCCTAATTTAATACATAAAATACAGCTACCCCAAAATCTCCGCCAGTACAAGTACAGCTGTGGCTCGACGGCGCCGGATTTTTGCCAGAAGGTCGGCATCAGAGCCAACGGCGAGGCTTGATGAATACAGAGGCTGTGCAAGCGGCCATACATTCTGCCAAGCTGGTGGTATGTGCCTTCATCATGGACTGCTCTCATTGACTTAGGTGGGCCCTGCGACAACCCAAATCGGTGAATTGGGGGACTAGATACTATAACAACACCCTTTGTGTTGTTATTGTAACAACACTAGCCTCCAACCAATAGGAAGCTAGGATTATGATGACTTTTTATAAGATGAGTTGACCTAGTGTAAAATCAAAACAGGGGTATAATTGTCATTATGAAAAATATGTTTAAATAATAATAAAAAAATAAAAAATAAAAAAATAAAAAAATAAAAAAATATTTTTTTTGATTTTTGGACCAAAATTTTGGTCGCCGGAATTCGGCCACCTGTCGCCGGAATCTGGTCGACGGTCACCGGAATATACTTTTTTGTCGCCGGAATATGCTATTTTTCGCCGGAATATGCTTACCGGCGTCGGAATATGCTCACCGTGGTCGGAATATGCTTATCGGCGTCGGAATCTGGTCATCGGGGCCGGAATATGCTTATCGGCGCCGGAATCTACTCACTGACGGTCACCGGAGTTCGGTCAACGGTCTTCGTTGACCAGTCAACGGTCTTCGTTGACCGGTCAACGGTCTTCGTTGACCGGTCAACGACCGCCGGATGTTATGGTCTGCATTGTGAGATTTATGGTTTGGTTTCTCATATTTTTGTATGCCTTTTGTGGTTTGCATTAAGAAGTTTCTGGTTTGCTTTATCGTGTTTGTGGTTTGCATTGTGAGGTTTCTGGTTTGCTTTCGAAAACTTTGTGGTTTGCATTAGAAGGTTTCTGGTTTGTTTTAGGGGATTTGTGGTATGCATTAGGAGGTTTCTGGTTTGTTTTTGTGGTTTGCTTTAACGTGTTTGTGGTTTGAATTATGAGGTTTCTGGTGTGTTTTTTAAAATTCTGTGGTTTGCTTTGTGAGGTTTCTGGTTTGTTTTAATATATTTTTGGTCTGCATTAGGACGTTTCTGGTTTGTTTTTGTGGTTTGCTTTACGGTGTTTATGGTTTGCATTATGAGTTTTCTGGTGTGCTTTCAAAATATTTGTGGTTTGGTTTGTGGTGTTTCTGGTTTGTTTTAGGGAATTTGTGGCATGCATTGGGAGGTTTTTGGTATGTTTTTTTATGGTTTGTTTTACCGTGTTTGTAGTTTGTTTTATGAAGTTTCTGGTGTGCTTTGTGGTGTTTTTGGTTTGTTTTAGGAGAGTTATGGTTTGTATAATAAGGTTTTTGGTGCGATTTAAAAATATTTATGGCTCACTTTGTGGTGTTTCCGTTTTGATTCACGAGACTTATATTCTACATTAGGATGCTTCTGATACATCATAAAAACAAAAAAAAAAATTGATAAACTTTAGGAACCACGCCTCCGACGATATGAACGGCGCCACGAACAGACATTCCAGCGCCATCCTCGCCTCCGCCAGCTCCGGGAAATTCAGCTCAATTGACTCCAACAAGGACCTGTAATAGACCATGTTACCTTCAAAAAGGATCCGAACCCAGAGCAACCCTTCAAATGCTCCCAAGCTTCCCCGTCTCCCCGAGTCACCATCCCTCTCCCCGACTCGGCCACCAACTCGTTCGCCGTCGTCAGGAATTCCTCCACCAATTTCCTGCTCCTCACCCTCCTCATGTGCGGAAGCCCCACCATACAATTGAACACGCGCCATTTATTCTTACGTGGTTGATAAGACCTTTGAATGGCCTATGTGATATCCAACCTCTCCTCCCAGCTCACAGTTACGAGCTTGCGCAACCATTTTTGCCACAGCAACAACAGTAAATCTCCTCGGCTGTGTGCATAGAACAGGAGCCATGTCTTGCTCCAGGAGAAACTGCGGAACCTGAGAGCTCTTCCCTAGTAAGACAAAAGGTAAAACAGAGCAGTATCAGTTCTCTAAGAGGAACAAGAAACTTACGCAGCCATTGCCCAAGGCATTGTGTGTTTAGCTTCGCAGCCGAGGGTTAGCAAACTCATAGAAGAAACTAACAGGTAAAACTTCCGTTAATTCCTAGAAATGAGAACTTCAGTATATACGGCAGGTGATGTAAACTGATAACTGATCAGCATATAGCCTACCAATTTTCTCGAGAAAATTTTCTCAACATTGTTACTTTCTGTCAATGTAGTCGATAAACAATTAGCGGCAACGTTGAAAATGAAAGACGGAAGAAAATTATCGGATTCTCTTCTCCACTTTCAACCAGAAATGAACAAACAAGCAGAACAAGATGCGCTCGCGCGCTTTGCTCCCCTGATTCCCCCTGCCAAATCTTCGATTTGGGTTGATTCGATGATCGCGTTCGACCCGACCCGGCAAGAATGGTCCGCCTCTTCACCTCCTCCAGGTTCCACATCGCCGGCGCCCAATCGGAGTCCTGATCCGTTCCCGTGGCTTGCGATTCCCAATCTACGACGGTCAGATTGACCTTCTTCCCGAGGCGAGCCAGAGCCTCGATCACCGGCGGCCACTGGTGACTGGACGCCTTCCCCGACGTCGAAATCGACGATGTGGACGGTCTCGGCGTCTGCCGGAATCGACTCGACCATGGCCGAATTGGCGGCGAAGTGAGCGAATCGGCCGTAAGGGAAGATCTGGTAGAAAGCCCTGAATTCGGGAAAGGAAAAATCACGGCACGGAGATGGATTAAATATTTTTTTTTTATTTTTTTATGTTAAATTACCCTATTACCCTTAATGAATTCTGTTGTTACCATAACAACAAAGGAGCTGTTGTTATACTATCTGCTCCCGTGAATTGGCAGGGCTGCAAACGAGCCGAGTTTTGTTTAGTTCAAGCTCTTTGCGTTAATAAACGAGTCGAGTTCGTCGTTGTCTTGTTTACTAAAATTTTGGCTCTTGTTTTTCTCTAACTCATCTAATTAATGAACTTTGCGAGGTTTGCTTAAGTCTGACTCATCATCAATAAGATCACGAGTTCGGCTCGAGTTCAACTAATTTATCGCAAACAGTTGATCCCTTAACCTTGATATATATATATATAACCACATATAGATATTTGTCATAGATATTTGTATTTAATGTATAATACATGTGATTGATGTCATGATGAAGAAAATAATAATAGTATATTTTCCTCATTAATTGATCTCACGTTTATATGCACTATCGGTAGCGTGCTGTTAAGTTCATATCATGTCATTTCGTATAGTAATTAGTATCTTATGAAATTTATGGTACATAATTTCTCTTTTAAATTTTAATAAGGCGTACGATGCACTCACGTACTCAATGTCTTAAATATCATGTAGGAAGAGAAATAGAATTTAACAAACCTACGAATTATCAACAAGTAAGCTCATATGATATAGATCGATTCGCTCGTAAGTAGGTAGTCAAGTTGCCTCACTAGCTAGCCACAATGTTGAGACATATCATGAGTAATATAAAAAAAACTGACAAGTTGAGATCAACAAGCCACTGAATCGAAATGACTTGCGAGACTCGCCAGCTGAACAAGACTTTGTTCAAACTCAACTCATTAGTAAACGAGTCGAGTTTAGAACGAGATTTACTAAATAAAATATTGAGCAGTTCGGGAACAACTCAGCTCACTTGCAACCCCGGTTGAAGTGTACTATAATATGCATACCGATTACTTGCAGTGAGTAGCCAAGATTGGAGCAGTTAATGGCTATATTTGTTTGTTTATTTAAGTTTGAAACGAGGCAGAATTAATTAGATTAGGTTTCTTAGTTTGTTCATGATTTAACGAGGCGGTTGAGAGAAGGAATAAAAATCTGGAGGATTTGATTTGATTCGAGTACTCCCAGTTGCTCTCATGAAATTAGGAGTCAGGACTCAGGAATGATGGGGAAGACAGGTGCTAACTATGCATATTGAACGGCGGGTCAACTTCGGTATTAATGTTGGACATAGGTTAATTGGTTCAATTCAATTCAATTCTCATATATATTAGCAGGAAATATATGCAACCATCTAAAATTCTTTATATGCAAAATTGAGCGGCTCAAATAATGAAGAAAGATAATAATACGATTGAAAGGACCAAAATTATTGGAGAAATGATTCAAATGAGGGTCATCGTAAACGAATCGAGTCGAGCTTTTACCAAGTTTTCATCCGACTCATTAATAAATGAGTCGAGTTCGAATTTGGCTTGTTTACGAAAACCTTGATTTGTGTTTGATTCGAGCTCTACCTCAGATATCATATCACTTAGTTCATAATTATTAATTGTTCATATCATGTTATTTAATAACAATTAATATACGAGCAATTTATTATACATGACTTCTATTTTAAATTATAAATGAGACATATTTAAACACGTGCTCAAATTCGTAGAATGGTGAGATATATAATGTAACAACCTATGAATTATCAACAAACCAATGATAAGTTGTTGATTGATTTGCTCATAAGTTGCAAGTTTAGGTGATTCGCTAGCCATATTGTTGAGTCATCCCATAGCTCAAATCGCGCTAGCTCATGAGTTGAGCTCAACAAGCCACCGAGTCAAGCTGGCTTACGAGTCTTATGGGCCAGACAAGAGTTAGCTCAAGTTTGTCTCGTTAGTACCAAGTCGAGTGTCGAACTAGCTTTTTCCAAACCAATAACTGAGCCGTGCTCGTGAGCAATTTGACTCATTTACAACCTAGGAGATAGTAAGTTGTAACCACATTATTTTATAGACAAGTCAAAATAACCACACACAAAAAAAAAAAAAGATAACGAGCCCTGGGCCCTTGCCTTTCAGCACTCATTTTATCCCAATTTCACTGGGCCAAAATGTACATAGGCTACAGAGCTTCTAATGTGACGACGAGACCAAGTGATTCATTTTCCTCCCTCCAATCAATTATGGGCCCAAAGCCTTTGATGCCCAATCTTCACCATCAGCCCCAAGTTCTCGAAGCCCAATCGGAACGACCGTAGCCAGGACAGACGAAGGATGTACGCAAGTAACTCCACGGAAACCGCCATGGAATCTTCCATATCGTTCTCGCAAGTCGCATCAGCAGTAGAACACAGGAATCGAAAGAAAGGCTAACTAGTGAAGGTCTGAGAAGAGATTACCTTCGCCCTCAAGCTTCCAAGTTCCCGTTACCGCTTGCAGAAGAATCGCTATTTCCAATTTGGATCCGTAACGCCGTTGCCCACCGCTCTTCGGAGCTCCGTCTGATAGATCCTCATCCGTCGCCGCCGCCGTCCGATGTCGTCCCCGGGCGAGTAAGCTTCTTGTTTCATTCGTTCGTCCTACTCGTTTTCCTCCGCCTGATTCTCTTCGCGTTGCTTGAATCTGTTTGTCTCCGATTTGGGAGAGAAATTACTCTGTTGAATGTGATGATGGCTTGACCTAATTTCGGAAGTGAATTTCGTCCGGGAGTCATGTCTGGTGGAAGATTTCAGGAAGTAGAATTAGTTTGGTATAGAAAGCTTAGGCGCAGGGGTTTCCATTTCCGTGCCTGATCAAGCCGGGCTTAGTAACTCACGCATGGCTTTCTTTGAGGTTACAGGTACTATCATTCGCTTCCACCCATCACCAAGGCTTATGGCACCGTGTGCCTGGCGGTTACTACAGTTTGTTCCCTCAAGCTGCTTCATCCGGCGTATATAGCATTGATATATGAGGACGTTTTCTACCGATTTCAGGTATTGTTCAACGTCTCCATTTCAATGGAAGATTGGCTGTAGGACTCCCGACTGATTGCGGTTGTCTGTTTATCTTTCTTCCAGGTGTGGAGGCTTTTTACTAGTTTCTTCTTTCTTGGGAATTTCTCCATCAATTTCGGTATTCGCCTCTTGATGATGTGAGTTGCGTTCTGAAAGAAAGTAGCATAATCTCTTATAACGTTTTGCTTTGATATGTGATGTTGCTCTCCTGTGGTTATTGACTTAATTATGTTAACCGAGTGATTCTGGTTAGCTATATATTTTTCCTAGCTCTGATGTATTCCAGATGTTTTGCAGAGCAAGATATGGTGTTCAATTGGAGCAGGCAACATTCGACAGGCGTACCGCTGATTTTCTCTGGATGATGATCTTCGGAGGCCTGACTCTTCTGGTATGTAATTAGGTCCTCTCTTTCTTTGTTCTGTTTTAGACTTTTAGGTGAGAAACAATGACTGTTGACTCCTGTGCTATTGATGTCTGGAAATGCGCCTCTTTACCGGACTTTTACTTGGTGTTGCCAGTGTTGTGAACTTCTATTTAGCTCGCGGCTTCTACCATTGGACTGTAGGTCTCCCTATTAATGTGTTGGCTTTGTGGGTTATTAATGTGGTTATTAACTGTTGTTTTGTGAATCATGGCATTGTTAACCATCGTATCTGGATAACGAGCATTTCCCTGCACCACAGGGTCTGTCTGCCATCCCTTTTCTGTGGAACCCTTTCTTGGGCATTTCACTTGTGTTCATGCTGCTTTATGTCTGGAGTAGAGAGTTCCCAAATGCTCAAATCAACATATATGGCCTGCTGAATATTAAGGTATTGCCAACTTTGTGCTCTCATGTTGTAAGGCTGCAATTATTTTTGTATCTTTGATGCTTTGATCTTTCAGTTGGTAGAAACGAGAAAGCCTTGTGTTATATGCTAATGATCAAAGTTCTGTTTTTTTTTTTTTTTGTTTCCTCTCCCTCTCACTTCTCAGGCATTTTATCTACCCTGGACCATGCTTGCCCTGGATGTTATTTTCGGGTCTCCAATTTTGCCCGATCTTCTGGGAATCATCGCGGGTCATTTCTACTACTTCTTGACGGTGTTGCACCCGCTCTCAACTGGGAAAACCTATCTGAAGACCCCAAGATGGGTGTATCCTTTTACATTGATTTCTTCCTTAGTTCGTACCATCTTTCTAATAACTAATCTCAAGTCTTTGAATCATTCACATTGACTGCAACCTGCTATAGCTGTTTCCTAAGCTGTTTATAGACAGAAGCTGGTGAGAAGATACAAAATAGGAGCTCCAGCACCAGTGAACTCCCGAGCGGCAGCTCAGCCCGAGCAGCAGCCGGGCACAGGATCAGCCTTCAGGGGAAGATCCTATAGACTCAGCGATTAGTCAGTTTTCTCACCCTTTTGTTCAGAATGTCGATACAAAAACTAAGGAAGCAGATAGGAAAGAAGCTTGTCAGAGGGAGTTGAAGAGAATCAATCTGCTCGATTTATTGATCCTTTACTACTGGAGCTGAGGGTAGCGTTTTTACGCGTTCATCGGTGTTTAATTTCACGAGGCCGGAATCCAGTACTTGTCTAAACGGAGGGATGAAGTAGTGCATTTGTTGGCAGATTGATTTTCTTTTCATTGCTTGCATTATTTACTCTCTAATTGTGGAGATTTCGAAATATGATTCTCCTGGGAATTCCGTATCCTCATGCTATATCACATGGTTTCAGGCTATCTATACAGAGTAAATTGTAAACCACAAGAACAATTACAATTTTTGAGGTTATGGTAATCTACTTATTATGTCAGAAGTAAAGACAAACGTAAGCACTCGCCGAGTAGCATCGACTAGTTTGAAGCCATCACTTATGGAATATCTTCGTCTTATTGTTTTTATATATTGCTTCACTCTCGAAATCGATTAGAAACGCCTCGATGAACATGTCAATGTCATGTTACGGTAATAGACATAAAAACAATGGTGTTAATATAGATCTATGTTTTTTATCATCTCTCTTAATCCAGTACGTATATTAGAACATACCATTTTTCGTTCTTATTTATTGATGCGTTTCAAGTCTATTGACATATTATGTTGATCTGATGATAAAAATTTAAAGCAAAACAGCTCGGAACATGAAGAATTTCGAAATGTAAAATCAGTGGAAACTATGGTGAATGAAATGACTACAGTCAGGGAGAACAACGAGCTTGTAAATGTAGCAAAACGCAAGGTTGTCAAACCGGTTTAAGTCATTGAGCCGGTCAAGTAAGGGATTTGAGGTTTAATGGTCTGATAGGGGTCCGGCGTTTTGAGGTATTTTAGACGTTTTCTAAATATATATATACAAATAAGGTAGTAATTTAAGATATTAACTGCAATAAAATTTATCTTACATATATCTATTAAAAACTAATTTTTCACAAAATAAATCTATCTAACATCCATGACCCACCCAGTGGTGGAGCTAGCTTGGAAGAGGGTGGGTCCCCGGACCCACCTTGGCTCGAGATTAAGTGCTTGTTTGGAAGTTGCGATTGTTAAATATATGTATTTATACGAAATCCAATCTCACAATACAAGTAACAATCTCACGTAACAATCGCAACTTTAAAACGACCCCTAAGACACAAAATAACAGTATTTGTACGAAACTTCTAATGTTAAAATCAAACCTCTCATGTTCACTACTTTTCTACTAACATATTGTAGAGAACTTTATAGCACATATTAACCTTACATATTATGTAATTAACTCTAGATTTTTACATAAAACTACATCTCTAATGGTTTGTTCTTAGTTTTTTAATTTATAATTTAGGGTAAATTTCTCCATCCTCAAACGAAAATCGGTCGACAAACTATAAAAACACATCGTGGGTCATGTAAATATTAATTATATTTATCATATATATTTTTATTTTCACGTCGGATCCACCTTGAATGAAATCCTGGCTACGCCACTGGACCCACCCACCATCTCTCTTTTCTTCTTTCCTCTTCCTCTCTTCCCCCTTTTTGATGATCAGACCGGGGAGCTTTCTAAAGGCTGTTTTGAAGCTCGATTCGGGTCGGACTGGGTCCACCCGGGGGTTTGATAAGGGTTTAAAAACCTTGGCAAAACGTGAATTCCGGAATGCGTGAAAAAATAATATTCGTTTGGTTAAAAATGACAGTAAAAGGCGGAAAGAAAGGTTTCCCCCAAAACCAAGCAAAAACAACGGACGGTCCACAGCCCATCAATCAATCATCTTCCCGGACCGGATCCAATCCGTGAGGTGGTCCACAAACCCATTCAAACCTTTCCCTCCGCATCCATCGCCCCCTCCACCTTTTCCCCCTCCATTGCTCCCACTACAAAACCACGGTGGAAAGCTCGAAAAAGTGGTAAAACGTAAAACAGAACTCGATTAAAACAAAATTTTACTCATCATCCACCAGGTAAAAAAATAATTAACCCTTCCCCCCCGAAAATTAACCCACTCCGATCAACAGCCCGGCCAAACAGAAGGTCCAAGTTCTCGAACGCGCGGAAAAAAAGAAGAAGAAGGAAAAGCGCACACGCGCCGGTGAGCCGGAGTCAAACCAAAAATCGGCGAGAAAATGTCGTGGCAGACTTACGTCGACGAGCACCTGATGTGCGAGATCGAAGGCCAGCAGGGCCAGCACCTCGCCTCCGCCGCCATCGTCGGCCACGACGGCAGCGTCTGGGCCCAGAGCTCCGCCTTCCCTCAGGTAGCTAGTTTCAATTAAGAACCAAAAAAAAAAATCCCTAAAATTGTTTCTCCTCGATGAAAATAACAAAATCCCTAAATTGGTATATGGCAGTTCAAGGGATCGGAGGTGAGCGACATCATGAAGGACTTCGACGAGCCGGGGCACCTGGCCCCGACGGGGCTCCACATCGCCGGGAACAAGTACATGGTCATCCAGGGGGAGCCCGGCGCGGTGATCCGCGGCAAGAAGGGCGCCGGCGGGATCACAATCAAGAAGACCGGACAGGCCCTGGTGGTCGGGATCTACGAGGAGCCGGTGACTCCGGGGCAGTGCAACATGGTGGTCGAGAGGCTCGGCGATTACCTCGTCGATCAGGGTCTCTAGATCCAGCGGATTTCCCCCCCTCTTCCGGCCAAACCCCATCACCCGCCATATTTGACCTATGAATTTCAATTTCCTCTTTTTCTTAGTACTCCTTCATAATATAATTTCTGAGCGGCACGACGAAAGTGCTGGCTGTTTCTCGTTACATTTTTCTTCTGTTTTCAATCTTTTTTTTTTTCCTTTCTGGGTTATTGGTTACAAGTTTGCATTTTCTGCCTGTAACCATTTGTAAGAACGAAAGTAGTCCAGGTCGACTATGTCGATCTGGATGATTGAAAGTTTTGGGATGTTTTTTCCTTTTTGATTTTCTGATCTCCGTTGTTTCTTTGTTTATTTGATCCTCTGTTTTCTACTTTTCTTTGTCTATTGATATCAAAACAACCACACATGATGATCCTGACTAACCTTCGATCAAATCTATTTGTTGGTGATGAGATAGTTGAAGTCCATCGATTTATAACATACAAATTTAATCCGACTCTATTGATATGGTCTGGCGAATTTATTATGTGGAGACGTTAAGCGATTTGAGTAGCATGATGAGGAGGGATCTGAATATGATTTTCATCTTGTTTCAGACTCTGGATTTTTCTATCATAGTTTCATCTTGTGTCTGTTCATGTTCAGTTGTTACGACTCCTCTTATTTTTTATGTTAGTCGTGTCGTTCTCTCTTCTTCATTAAGTATCGTACAGAGTCAAATGATCGTTGTATATTCTTATTTTCACATGTACAAATGAGCGGGCAAACTCATACCTCGAGCAATATTTTGATGTCAGTAGTTGCTAGCTAGGATAGCAAAACCTAAATACTTCACTTTTCATTGAACCATATCAATTGCTAGCTTGAATGCTGATCAAATATGTTCTCGTGATTATTGTTAATTACTGTTATTTTCATGGACGTTTATATCTAAATCGTCTATGCTATTCCCTTTGATCATTATTATTACTGGGGAAAAAGATAAAGGAGAGAAATTTGTGGACATGAAGCTTATGCTTGGCAGGAATCAATAACCAACTCCAACCAGCCAGCCTTTTATTTGTCAAAGTGATTGATTAAGAAATGCAAATCCATGAAAAAGCTCTTCTTTTCCTTTATTAATTAGGCACCAAAGTTTCAAAATTTTAGGCCACAGATCAGGCACTTTCCATAAAGCAAGAACTATGATTGGTATAGTGCATTACCATTGTGCTTTGGAAGATTGTTCTCCCATTGATTATGTGAATATGAAAATAAATGTTTTCTTCCTCTAATATTGTATGTTTTTTTGCTTTACATATTGCCATGTGATTAAGTGCATCTGTAAAAAAAATATCAATGGTTTAGTGCATTTACATGAGAAATCGTGTCTTAAATTAGTCTAGTCCATTTGGTGAGATATCTTCTACCAACAAAAATCGAGATTAAATAATTTAGACGAATATGTAGCACCATCTTATTTGTTGGAGTCTTGGAGAATAGAACAACGACGAATCAGTAGCAGGAGCGACACAATTATAAATCGCCATCAGCCTTCAAGTAGCAAACAACACATAATTGATAGTTTAGTAATGTGTTGTGTTCGAGGCACTAAGTTGTTAGTGGGTGTAGGAAGTTCGATCATCAAGCCAAAATCCTCCTCACAAAAAAGAGGATCGTCATTGTAGGCAATGATTTCAGAAAGTTCCCAATTTTTTTGGCCGACTTAAATATGAATATACGCATTAATTTAATGAGTTAAAAAAGAATTGTATATGATTATAATAACAATGAAAGAATCATTTGTTATAGAACGTGAGATCTAGTTATCACTAACGATCTTCGAGTAAAAAACATAAAACAACATCAAATCCTTCTTAGTTATAAGTTTCAACCTTATGTCAAGGTTCCACTCTCTCATCCCCTTAACCCATTGAAATGAATAATTGGTCTTTAAAGGAGGAGCCGTGGGAGTTATAATTGACCTTTGGTAATTGGTTACGATGCCAATCTTAATAAGGAAATTGTAGAAAGTAAAAACATAGAGGATGATGTACACATTTGAAATAATTATATTTTTTTAAAAAGAAAAAAACATGCATGTCGGGAAAATTATTAAGACATGGACAGCACATATGAAGTTTCCCTTTCTAAAATTAACGCTTTAATGATCATTTCACAACTTTCCAGTACATAAATCTTGTTTATTGTTTCCCTTTCTCTTTTGTTAGTATAATAATTTTTTTTATTGAACATTTCTGTTTCTGTTTAAAATGTTTTTTTTATGAACGGTATAAAATGATTAAATAACAAGTCAAGCACATATTTTCTTGATGAAAATGAAACTACCGAATGGTGACCGGAAAAGGGCGGTATGACAACTCGACTTCTTTGAAGATTGAGTCATGGCTTAGAATGTCGTATGCCTGGGGAAGCCTATCCATTATGTGGAAAAAGAAGTTCATGTTACAGTCCATTCAACAATATTGATGTGATAGTTTATTGAGGTAAAGAGAGTCATTCCACGCGTTAATTTGGTATTTATGGTCGTCCATTTCGAGAGGATGGTTATCTAACTCTATAACTCATGAGAAATTTCAAAGACAAGCAATTTACCCTGAGTTTGTATGAGAGATTTCAACCTCGTTACTACAATTATGGGGAAAACTGGAGGAAGATGAAAATACTGCGACAAATTTCATTGAAGTCCTAAGGGAGTATGAGTTAGTAGACTTCGTTTTCAATGGACACACATTTACTTGCCATCTATGAAAAGTTCTGGTGAATGTATTTGGTTCGCTTTTGAGCCACCTTAATTCGTAAACACAAGCTCCATTAGAGATCAAGCGAAGTTTGGTTGCTTTGTCATTATTTCTTCACTTAAAAATTGAGAGTTTGAACTCTACATGGCAAATTTGAACATGGCAAGGATCCACTTGAATAGATTAATTTCATATGGATTTAAGTTATATTTCGATAGTGTTCCGGTCTAGTTTTTAACACCGCTAGAATCTCTTTTCCTTTATTCACGATGAACCTGACAAGTAATTTATAGGTTTTCTTGAGTTTCATTTGTGCTGAATTTTTTCCCTCAGTTTAAGACTTAGATTAACATCCCAAATGAAAATTATTATGTATACTTAGTCAACAGATAGATGCCCAAAATCATATATCCTCCAACAACGAAACCATTGATCCAATGGTAAAAAAAAGAGGAAATTTAACAGCCCTAACGTTCATAGTCCTTTGATTAAAATTTCATTTTTTCCCCTCTATTTATTATCAGAATTCAGAAGCATATTTGCTGAATATTACGAAATTCGAATAAATACAAATTACCACAAAAAAAAAGAAAAAAAAAAGAGATGGCTCGAATAATATATAAAAGGTCCCGTCGATTCAACGCAATATGTGCGCCCAGTCTCTGCTGTCTTCACAGATAAGAAAATACACAGAAACCAACCCCTAATCTTCCTCTTTCTTCTTAAGGCCGAACGCCCACCTTCAGCTGCTCCACAAACCACGCCCCTTCCTTTCAGCTCTCAACCAGTCCGCAAACCTTCCTTCCTAGTTCTCAGCCAAGCAGCTCGCCAAGATGTCGTGGCAGACTTACGTCGATGACCACCTCATGTGCGAAATCGAGGGCAATCACCTCTCTGCTGCAGCCATCATCGGTCACGACGGCAGCGTTTGGGCTCAGAGCGCTACCTTCCCTCAGGTTGTTGTCTCCTTCTTTCTCTTTGCTTCCCTCCTTATGATTCCCACAAGTTTGATTCGTGTGGATTTGGGGTTGTACTTCTGTTCTTAGCATCTGGTTGCCGAGGGTTTGTGTGGGTTTTGACCGGTTGATGGATTGGATGTGGCCGAGAAAGATGTGGATCCTGATTGACCTGTGCTTCGTTTGAATTGGGTTCACTTCAAATTGATAGCTTTTGAGCTGCTTTTTACGATCTGGGTATTTTGCTTGAGGATCTGATCTCCCTTGGTTTGGGCGTGGGGGGTTTTCGATTAACTGGTTGTGGTGAGATTTGATTTGGGTTTCTTTTCCTGTGATGGAGGTTTAATAGTTATCTTTCTGTGATGCTGAATTGAAAGTGAAGATGAACTGATCAGGGGTTCATTCGTTGACTAGAGGAGCGCTCTGCTACTTGTGGTGCTGTTGGATCGAAGGTGCTTTTTGCTGATCTGTTTGTGATGTTTTTGTTTCAGTTCAAGCCTGAAGAAATTACTGGCATCATGAAGGATTTCGATGAGCCTGGTTTTCTTGCACCCACTGGGTTGTATCTTGGAGGCTCAAAGTACATGGTGATTCAGGGTGAGGCTGGAGCTGTCATTCGAGGAAAGAAGGTGAGGATGAATGGACTCTGTGTAGCTTTCTGTTTTGCACCTTCGTTAGTTTAGTAGGAGAATCTTCTAAAATTGGCAAATGATTTCATGGGGTTTCTTCTGGTGGTCCATTTTGAGCTCATTGACTCACAACTCTGGAAGTCTTGATACTCGTTACTCCATCAGAACCCACGCCTTCTTGTTCTGTTATGATAGTTGACAACATTCTAGTCTGTTTGAGTCTAGTGTTCTTAGCCTATGACGTTCTTTGTACCATGGTTTAGCATTCACTTGCCCAGCGATTGTACATTGATTCATACATTTGAAAGTTCATTTCATCTAATTCATCCTGCCTAAACCTTTGCTTTTGCTGAAATGTTCAGGGATCTGGTGGTGTTACCATTAAGAAGACAGGTCAGGCATTGGTCATCGGCATCTATGACGAGCCAATGACTCCCGGGCAGTGCAACGTGATAGTGGAAAGGCTCGGGGACTATCTCGCCGACCAGGGTCTTTAATCACCTCGTTTTTTCTTATCTTTGTTATTTATCCCTATCCTCCTGGCATCTAATACAAAACCTTGCCTCTGTCCGACATTATTTAGTAGCTTAAGGTCAAGGGGAACACTGTGTGAAAAGGAAAAAAAAGAAAGATGGGAGTTTGATTGATGGTTGTTTTGGATCTTGATGGATTTGAGTCTCTTCCTTTGTACTATTTTGATGATGGTATTATCATGATGATTGTCTAAATTACATTTTGGGGTTTGTTAATCGAATCGACGGGATTGGTTTTTGGTTGTCACTAAGTATTGCTTCATTATGGCTGCTTTCTTTTGCGTTTCTTGTTTGTTTGGTATCTATATTCTTATATGGTAAGAATAGGAATGCTTTCTGGGTGTGAAGAAGATATGAAGTACAGTTGGTTGGCGTTATTTCTGTGTATATATGCATTGAATCAGCGGAGTTTATTTTTAGGTGATTCCTGGTTTGGAGACTTAACATGATAACTACGAAGCTCACTATCAGGCACGCCATTCTCCGCATTTTAATGAAGTAACCATAACATATTTCAGTGGTTGTTCCTAGAGATTTGGTAGCTCTAGACTGAGTCATATGTAGATGTATACCCAGTTCTCTCTGAAACGTTCATAAAGTACGCGGTATCGTCAGCTCGAGCTTTCTGTTGGCAACCTTATCAGAAGATATGTTAGTATGATGGTACTGGAAACCCCTCTGCAAAGTCATAAGACAGTTCTCTAGTCTACATTCTACCGATATTAAGTTGGCATTTTTGTCCGAAAACCGATTCGATTTTTATAGTAGTTCAAACGCTCGTTACAAATTTTGTTCAGCGCGCAGTTTAAATGACTCGCATAGATGAACACTGACGATCTTAAACCAAAGCCAGACAGAGCTGGGGGAGGAACATCATCTACAGGTGGCCAGTTTTTTTTTTTTTTAAGCTCAAGACTAGCAAGAAAGTACAGCAGATGGATTCGTCTTTCCTTACCATCCTCCCTCCTAACACTAACAACCCTAACACCAATCAATACATTGACATCATATCATACAACACCATGGGGCCGTCGAACCAGTAGAGCTTTACAATTGCAGGGCTACCTGTCTCTTCCTTCCATGGTCCCAAAACAGAAACAAAAATCTCTTCATTTCCAGACTCCTACCCTGCTTACGCAATTACCATTCGTCAACACAGAAGGCGAAGAAGAGTTGCTAGAATCAAGCTGTAGGCCCACTTCCCTGCCAGATTCTGTGACGAGGATGAAGTCTTAGACGACGAGGATGTCATTGCTGTTATATTACTAGCTCCAGTCTTGTTGGTCCTGGTTGGTAACAACAAAAGCCACACCATGTGTTTAGCTATAATAAAAGTAATACAATATGGCTGGCTGGGAAAAGACTAGAAAGAGCTTTGGCTGCAAGTAACTTACCCCGCTGTCATATACAAGCAGTTATCATAGCCTGCAAAACATAAGTACACAGGTGTACGGTTTAGAAAAAGCACAGCATCAAAGAGATTGAGAAATTAGAGTTTGGACACTCGGAGAGAGATGAGCATTACTTGGATCCTTGTCAACTTTAACTCCAGTGCCACCAAAAGTGCAAGCGATATCAGTTGCTCCATTCTGCTGGTAGTAAGCATTGAATGCATACGAAGCATGAGAAGCCAGATTATCCGGCTGGAAACAAGGCTGACTCGGCTGAATAGGCGAGCAATCCACATTCCCAGTACTACATGCCCAGTCAACCGCATTCTGCAAATCAAGCTGCGTCGCATTACTGGAAGCAATGCACCACGTCTTAGTAGTCCCATTGAAACCACCAGCAGTCCCATTCGAGTTCGGTGTTGGCATGCCTACCACAGCACCTCTGCCACTAAAATCCAGATTGTAAACACTCGTCTGATCAGGATAGAACAGACCCCAGTTCCTCTCCGACTCCAACCCAGGCTTCCTGTTCTCGTTGAACAGCGAGAAGATGTACACATCTACATCCTCCCCTGGCTTGGCTGGAGTCCCTGTGTCATTGATCACGTGGCGGATCAAGTTGGCATTGTAGATTTGCGCGTTATCAGGAGTTGCAGCAGTCTCCTTAGGCGAACCTTTTGATGGCCACCCTGTCTCAGTCACCATAACCTTGATCGTTCTGAAGTTGAGAGCCATCAGTGCAAAATAGAGAGCATCTATTTGAGCATCGAACATGTTGGTGTAGAGCAAGCCAGTGTTCGGGTCAATTACTTCGGAGGAGGATTGGAACAAAGCATAATCCAACGACACATTGCTTGGAGAATCTCTGTATGCGTAGTAAGGGTAGATGTCAATCATGAAAGGGGATTGGTTCTCGGCGAGGAACTCCAGTAAAGGTTTGAGGAAGAGGGCATGCTTGCTGCTGAAGGCACCAGCTGAAGGTGGGAAAGAGCGAGACAAGACGCCGAGGGAATGTGTGGTCGAGACCTTAATCTTCTTGTGCAAGCCGAGCTTTTTTAGCGAAGTGAGGATATTGTGCATGGCGGGTACAACAAGAGCTGACTCATTGTTTGGTGCTTCAGTGACTTCAGCACCAACTGTGATATAGGTGATCTTTGTGGCAGGGTAGTAAGGGAGGATGTTGTTCTTGAGCCATGTGTCGGCATTGGATTGAAACTGGGAGAAGGGGAGCAAGTCCGAGTTTGATATACCGATCATGAGCTCGATCCCAGTGTTGGCGAATGCCTTGAGAACTTGGATGTTCGCATCGTATATCCTCGCGTATTTGATGTTATGCTGCTGAATGAGGTCCACGGCTTTATCAGGTGTTGGGAGGTCGTCGGCATTCCTTCCATAACAAACTCCAACTATGCTTCCTCTGCACAGAACTGCAAATGGAAATTTGGATGAGCCCAACTTCCAGAGTACACAGTCGAATAAAGGGTCTCCCCCACTGGAAAGTTTCTTTCCTTACAAAAGCAATTACGTGACTCAATTTCACTTGATGTTGACTCACAACAACTACCCTCAGGCCTCAGCAATACTTAAATGCATTGAGGATAGTGAGGACAAACTGTTTTACCAACCCATTCTTCCAGAGCAACACTGAACCAAAACCAGGACTCCCAAGACTCTCTAGCTTTGATGGTATTTTTGGAGAGAAATGTACAATCATGTTGATCGCACAAGACAATGATGAAACAGATAACAAAAGTTTGCTTCAAGCTTGAGAGAGGTAATGATGCCAGGAAAGAAGAAGGCTTCCCATATTACCACAAAGGTGACAACAAATTTTTTCGAGATTTATTAGTGTATAGTCTAACAGCCAACATTTCAAGAGTAGAGACAAAATCAGAGGTGGGCTCAAGCCACTGTAATGGGGGCATTATTAGGCTGTCAAAGCAGTGGTCAAATTGAATAAACAAGTTCACAAGTAGGAAACAAAATTCTAGAGACTGGTCCACATTTCTCAACACTGCATCCCAGCTGTCCACAAACCTATCAAATGAAAAGAAAAAGGGAAGTATCGACTCTGGAGTATTCCAAAATCACACATAAAATCAGAAGCTAGTAAATGCAGGGGGTTACTAGGGCCATTAGATTAGATGCTCATCAAAAACAGGACCTGGGTTTTGCAAACCAGAAAACAGTTCGACTGAAAGTCAGAAGGACAGGGGAAGGTGAGGGAAAACTAGTGGAAAAGGAAAGGTATAAACAGAATCAAAATGGGTGCTTTTCCAAGTAAAGAAATCGATTCCGGGAGAACCCATTTCAGCAAGTAATAGTTGAACAAGAAAGAAAAAAAAACCCACATCGACATTGGAAATGGAAATGGAAATGGAAATGGAAGAGAAAGAGAGCATACCCGGAAGTGCAAACAGCAGAGTGAAGGCGAAAACTAGCTTCAATCCTTCTTCTTCTTCTCCTCCTCCCTTCCTCCCCATCACCGCTTCTTCTATCCTCACTCTGTCTCTGCTGCTTTCTCTATACTTCTTTCTCTCTATCTCTATTGTAAGCGCGCCCAGCAACTCACTCCCCAAGGCTCTTATTATGGTTTCCAAAGGGAATCGTACTGTGGAGGAGGAGACACAGACTAACGTCTCTATTTCTCGCTCTTTCTCTTTCTTTCTTGCTATATTGGTATATGCGAAAAAGGCCTTCTGCTGTGCTGACTCTCTCTCGGAGCTCGAGAGAAGGATGGGGAAGCAAGCAGCAGAGAGCAATAGTGGAGAGTAGAGTGTGGTAATGGGTCAGTGTTTATGTCAGAGTGCCCAGAGAACAAGGGTTGGACCAAATTTCTGAAACCTTCTACCTTCCTTTTCCGAATTAAAAAAATCGTTTTTCACAGTTCGAGAATTAGGATGTCTGTTGCTTTGGTTTGGTTCCTCCCCGCTTTATCCCTGCTGCACCGACTCAGTAAGCGAAACCGAAGTCCGACCAGTTTTGCCCGACCCGATCCATAGGCCCATGAGAAATGGACAAATGAAACAAAACAGTCGGACTTCGGCCCGTAAAATCCCAATCCAGGAAGTGATATAGTCTTCTGAACAGGCCCAGCTAAAAGCCCAGTCCTGAAGCCCGAAAGCAAGGATACCCCCAATCGCCACGTCTAACATTGACGTAAGCGTTTAAAAAATTATTATTAATTTGAATTTTTTTAAATGCGCGGTCTTTCCGGTTTGAAATAAATTGACGTTGGAAACTAAATAGTTTTTTTTTTTTTTTTAACTCTGTTTGACTCTCTCTGAGTTGTTCGTCGCTTTCGTCTTTTTCCAGAAAACGATAAGGAGTCTCTCTCTCACCTGTCTTACATTCTCTCTGTAAGAAACCCTAGACAGCGAAGGCAGTAGTACGTTCGAATCTTCCAGCAGAAGAAGAAAGCGGAAGATCATGAAAATCAAGAATCCATTGCAGCAGCTGAAGCTCTCTGTCCCGGCTCAGGAGACTCCGATCTCGTCTTTCCTGTAAGCTGCGCGCATTCCTCCTAATTCAATTTCACTGTTATTCAATTCGCCGTCTGCTTGAGTTTGCCGAACTAGAGAGTCTGAACTGTGGGGAATCTAGTTGTGGTTTAGCTTTCCTGAGCATTACTGCTTAGAGTGATTGATTTAAGTCTTGATGGATGCCGTGACTTGAACTTTTATCAGCACAGCAAGCGGTACGTTTCACGACGGTGATTTGCGGTTGAATCAGAATGGTTTGCGGCTCATCTCGGAAGAGAAGGAATCGCAGGTAACTGGAATTCGTTTTGACTTTTTGGCTCAATTGATCTGTTGTATAGATGTGAAAGGATTGAACGAATGGCTTGAAACGATCTGTTTCTGTTCTCAGCTGTGGATTTTTGCACTTTGTGTGTTCTTGTCTTCTTGATCGTCCTAGGAGTTTGATTGGAATTTGAAGCTTGTTTTTCTCTTGTTATGGCGGTTTCGATTCTGCTATGAGGATTGTTAATCAACCGCTTGTTGCCCTCTTGGAAGTAATATAGCTTACCGTTGATAGCATGAGAGCATCGGTTCTGTTCTTTGCATTCGCTTAACTCATTGGTCGTTGCATTGTAACCTTTGGTCATCCATTGCCTCAGCAACAGCTTTTAGATGCTGTCTTTGCATTTGACAAAGTTGGCTATTTATACTTTATAGGCTTGACTATGAATCTCTTATTCTTGGTAGTCATCTGAGAGCAAAGAGCTCGACTTTGAGTTCTCAAAAGAAGATCTTGAAGCGATCAAAGTGATCGGCAAGGGAAGTGGAGGTGTCGTGCAACTCGTTCGCCATAAATGGGCGGGGACTTTGTTTGCTTTGAAGGTAATCTACTGAACCATTTCGCCTTGGTTCATGATGCTGTTTTTGGCCTACCTATTGACCTTCTTGAAACCATTTATAATGATCAATTCATCATTTTGTAGTAGTAGTAGTAGCAGCAAGGAATTCTGACACAATGTATAATATGCTTACAGGTCATCCAAATGAACATACAAGAGGAAATCCGTAAACAGATTGTACAGGAGCTGAAAATAAACCAAGCCTCGCAGTGTCCTCATGTTGTCGTTTGCTACCACTCATTCTATCACAATGGGGCTTTCTCACTTGTGTTAGAATACATGGACCGCGGGTCTCTTGCAGATGTGATCAGACAAGTTAAAACAATTCTTGAACCTTATCTTGCAGTTGTCTGTAAACAGGTATATCTGATCTTTCTTCTGCACCAGGTTCACATTTCTTAGAATTGATCCAGAGAAGAGTCCTCCCCAAGGGTGTATTTCCTGCTGCTGATAATTTCTACATTAATGCAGGTCTTACAGGGTCTTGTATATCTCCACAACGAAAGACATGTTATACATAGAGACATTAAGCCGTCGAACCTACTGGTAAACCACAAGGGGGAAGTGAAAATCACTGATTTCGGCGTGAGTGCTGTGCTGGCCAACTCTATGGGTCAGCGGGATACATTTGTTGGAACTTACAACTACATGTCGGTATGTTCCTGCTACTGGCTTAGTCACTATATTTGTTAAAACAAATGCCTTAAGAAAGAAGTAGCCAATTGTTGAAGTTCTGATTCATTAATAACATTTTCTTTACACTCATTGTGCAGCCCGAGCGAATTAGTGGGAGCTCCTACGATTACAGCAGCGACATTTGGAGCTTGGGCTTGGTAGTACTTGAGTGTGCTATAGGACGCTTCCCCTACATGAGATCAGAGGATGAAGAGGAGCGACCAAGTTTCTACGAGCTCTTGGAAGCCATTGTAGATAGCCCTCCACCCACTGCTCCACCAGACCAATTCTCTCCTGAATTCTGTTCCTTCGTATCAGCTTGGTAAGGAATTCATAACTCCACACCTTGAGAACCCAAGGCAGAATTCCCTTTATTCTCTCGATTCTCCTACTCTCCCACAAAGTTAGAGACAAAATAGAAAAAAATACAAAGCAATGCCTGATTATTCCAAACCTTTTACTACTACTTTGGATTCTTGCTCACTGTTGTCTGTGATTTCTACAGCATACAAAAGAACCCTCGAGATAGATCATCGTCATTGGACCTCTTGGTGAGTGTTACAACATCGTTTGTTTTAGTCTCATTTCTCCAGATGGCAGCTTAAGAAACCTCGTAGCCTGATATTGACCTTTTTTTTTCTTCTCTCCAGAGCCACCCTTTCATCGAGAAGTTCCAAGACAAAGACATCGACCTTGGAATTTTGGTAAGTAGCTTGGAACCCCCAGTGAACTACCCAAGATAAGTTTTCTCTTGTATTCCAACCCTTCCGCTGTGTGAGGCCAAACTACCTCCTTGTCTTGTAATGCTTAAGTCAGATTTTATAGCGTTGAAGCCGATGATGCATGTACGCAAATTCTTTCTTTAAAGTACCCAAGCCAATATCTTCTGCATACATCACCACCCTTGTTGATGCAACAATGATACAAAAGATGCAGTTTGGTTTGTTGTCGTCCTTCAAGCCATACATGGTGTTCTCTTTTTTGCTATCTTTGTCGTTGTCTTCTATGCAAATTTCTAGCGAATGTGGCCGTCTTGATTGTGCTAGAGGGACCATATAACTGTGGTTTTTGTCTAAGGAAGACATTGTAAGTATGTGGTCTGTCTGTCGTCTGATGTGGGAATGGGGGAGAAAGGTCAAGTTCTCGAGTCTGCTTTTGCTCAGTTTTTCATAAGTTTCCACGCAGCAGTGGATGTGTTAGCCTGTACTGTACTGTAACGTGATTAAGGTGTGAAGCTAGATTAGCTTTGTTGGCCGTATGGAAACAAAGACCAGAGCTTTTTGTTCTAGTAGAGACAATGATCCCAGTTGCCTTATTCCTTATCTCTTTGTGAACTTTAACCAGGAATATATTCTCGTTGGAGTACATTTGTAGAGATGTGTGAATACTTGTGTAAGTTGTGTTCAGTGAATTATCCCAATGATAAGCATTTAGTTTTATACATAAAAAAGGTTATGTTTTCGTCATTCATGGTAGACCTAAATTGTTCACTTTGAGATGCATCTAAAACGAAACCTTTGTTGGGTTTTTTCTTCTGTCAAAATTTCTGTGTTGGTGTGGATTTTTATTTGGGTGTCACATTAGAGTGATCACATGCACACACAACTAGATGAGTTTGCGGTAGATAGAAGGAATTGACGTTTCGCCATGAATATTATAGTTTTATTCTCGTATGTTGTCTATAGTTTATACATTCAATTCGAGCGTTATTCTATTTGATTAAATTAGGTTGTTCTAGTATCATGTATGCATATATTTCACATCCTATTTGAAGTAGTGTAAGGAGTAGAAGTATAACGAGAAATATCTTATGGTCCAATGTTCGTACATTTATGCTTGAGTAACCAATTGTTACTTTATTAATTGGTAGCATTTTGTCACTCCTTAACCATCTCTCTTGTAAAAATTCTCACGTCTAGCTCATTGTCTTATCCCCATTTACTGTGGTCTATGGAATGTAAGGTAAGAGCTAGAAAATTCTTAACATTGTCAAGGCCGCGTAAAAAAAAGGGAATTAACGGATTAAACAAAAGCCGCACAGCATCTTTTCACGCAAGTAAATCCAAAGAACGTAATTAATGATTACACTTCGTACCGTTTTATTCTATGCACAAGAACAGTTTTTGTATCCGACCCATGAAACGGACTAGATCAACGGGCATAGGCATTCCCGCCGGAGAAGAAAGAAATCCTAGCTGCTCCCTTCAAATTCAAGCTCATCCTGCTCATCCCGCGGATTTAAGATAGGGTAGAGTATTGGGCCAAATTTGAAAAGAGGTAAATAGGATTGGGTCGTAACCCATCGAACACTGAAATGAATATCTAAAATCGAAAATTCTACAAGGGATGTGGCACGGGGGTGGCTCCTCTAGATCCGCCGTTGATCCTCCCTCGTGTAACCTGTAAAAAAGTATGCCTTGATCGAAAGATTTTGTATTCGAAACTCGAAAATGTTTTATTTCCATAGTTGATTTAGCCACAATGTATGACGAGTGCTATGAAAATTGAAAATTTTAACGTCACGTTCATCAATAAAAGAGACATGTAATTAGGTAAAAGAGTAGTAAAAGAAATCGTATAAGCTCCCTTATGCAATATTAAACTAATCAGTTCTTGACATCCATCTTCCAATTCAGTTAATGCAACTATAATGATTCCTTTGGATACAAATATTGTATTGATATATATGTCGTTGAGAAAAACTTGTAGGCTTTTTTTGGAACTTCTTATTCTAAACGTTGTATTCTGAGTACACATGTATTCTTAGTATCCATAGTTCCTTTAATGTATAGTCCATGCATTATATATATATGCTAAACAAAGCATTTTTAAACTAAACCCCCACACATTCTTAGCATACACGTAATCTTAATACTCACATTATTGTAACACACCATTTCCGGAATCAAAGATTCAAAACAACCCCTGATTTTGTAATTATTAGATACAAATAATTTTGTTAATAATTTAATATAATATTCATATCCAACTACAGTAAATTGTGGAGCACGAATCTAACAACGACATAAATCATCGACACTAACACCACATCCAAAATCTCATCATTTTTTCCTACCAATAATGGCCAATTATATCTATCTACAAGCTGCTTGATCCTCAAAATCTTTATCATCATGAGAACACGCATGCTCTTTTTTGTCATTTTTTTCATTCTTTTTAATGACGTCATAATACCTTCTTCCATTGGTACGAGATTTTGCAAGGGAGCATTATGCTGTCCAGAGACGAACCGTCCATCTGTCCAGCTACCATTGGAGGGAAAGCCGACGGTGGGCCCCGCAGGCTAAAAGAGCAAAAAGAGAAAATGCACATGTGGGTACTAAAACGAAACTAAACCCATTAATAGTGGGCCCTTATCATTAAATGGGCCCCCGGTGTCCCAAAACCCGTGGGCGCGGCCGCATGGATAACATTAAAGTATTCATTAATAAAACCATGGATATTCTGCAATAATTAACTAAATCTAAATAATCTAACATTAAAAAAAAATATTTTAAAAAAAAACAAGAAAAAGAGAGGAAATTAGGTATCCACATATCATCCTTAAGCAAATTGAAGGCAGTGTTCCCTTTCCCACCTCCAACTGACTGGCTTCCAGGTCAACTTCCTTATCCTCTTGTTCTAATAGACTACTACTTCTTCTAGGGTTATTTTGTTTTCTTTCCCCCTTGGTCTTGAATCTTGATAGAGAGACAGAAGAAGTGAACATCACTCTATGAATTAGATTCCTACATATCCGATTCATTCGTACTATCTGGAGTGATCGTACTGGTAGAAACATTATAAGCGTTAGAAATTGACAGTGAGAGTACTAAACGATGTTAAATCGATACATGGATCGCAATTAATTGGATGGTGCTTCTCCAGAAAGATTTGGTTGATGCTATGCTCCAAGCTAATCGAGCGTGTTACCATCCACCCCTGTATCAAGCCTCTTGATCCTACCAGCATATCACAGTAATCGGACGTACTCATATTTACAGAGAGAGTATTAATGTTTGCGGTTGATAACCCGGCCCACCAAATTCAAAGATGTGACGGCGTTACTGACAACCGTAATGAACTGATGATAATTTGTTACTTGTTCATTGACTATTTGTTTAAATTATGGCATCAATTTGGTATGTGCATTAATATGATCTCGCTCATTTATGCCATGCAAGATTACACAATTTGTTATGGGGTAAATGCCACATTTGGTCACTAAGATTACTAAATCGTGTTATGTTTAGTCACTAGAAAAATTCAATATCAATTTTGGTCACTCGAATTACTGAAGCAGGTCACATTTAGTCACTCTCCCGTTAGCCTCCGTCCAACTCCAGTCACTCGAATTACTGAAACATATCACAAAAGAGTGACTAAACATGACATGATTTAGTAATCTCGGTGACCAAATGTGGCATTTACCCATTTGTTATGGATAAAACCTAAATCACTTTCTTTTGACCTTATCGCACACAAAGGGTCTAAAGGGAGGCATATTTTGGAATGATGATGTCTATTTGGATCATATTTTGTGCTGTTTGTTTTACCATTTGTGGAAATCCAATTAGGGATAAGTTTTATAGCCAGCTAGGTTATGTTTGTCGATAGTAATCTCTCTGTTTATCTTTTGGGTTTTGGCCCTAACATTAATTATTGACATACAACTGTCTAAAATGATTCTTCAGTTCTTCTAACTCTTCAACCGGCCATCCCACTTTTGTTCCTTATTCAAAATAAAGTTTTAATTAATTGATTAGGTGGCCACACAAGTCAAATGTCTCTTGCTTTTGTCCATTACCAATTTTGTGATTTACTAAGTGGAATTTATCTTAATTGGAAAAAGTACTTATACTTAGAAAAAAATTCACTTTTTTAGAAATAAGAATAAAATTGAAACTATTTATTTAAAAAAGAAACAAATTCAATTTCCTCCAATATCTTAACTCTTTTTCGTCCTTCAACTCTGAAAAGAATAATATACATTCTTCAAATGAAAATAACAAATTTCAAACAACTAGAAATTTAAATTTCGAATAGTGATTCTACTGTTGTTAAAAAATATGCTAGACGCGCTAAATTGGATGAACTTTTTCAATTAGATCGTGCTACTTTGAAATCAGACGAAGTTTCTTGCAGAGTGGAACCATCCAGTACCATATACATGATAGATCTTTCAAAGAACATGATTTTTTTCGTGAATAAGCCAATTCATTTGGGATCCTGTAGATCCACTCTTTTTTCTTATTCAAAGATCAGCATTTTGTCTCTGCGTCTTGCCGTCTTCACATCGAGAATTCTTTAGAGATAAAGAAATGTCTTGTTACATCCCAAACAAACCCTCCTTGCTCCTACTCTATGAATGTTGGTTCCAATTTAAAAAATAGAAGGAAAGAAATCTTTCAATTTCACGTCTTTGGATATAAATCTATTTAAAATTAATAACTAACAATTACATTTATTTTATTAATGTTTTTTTTATTTACCTGAATTAGGAAAAAGAGCATATGAGAAATTAAAGAAAGTAAATGTCATTACTTTAGGAGGCAAAAGGATAACGACCGTTTTCTCCCTCTCTTCCTTCCCCCTTTTTTTTCTTTTGCAGGCAACAATAAAAGAAAAGATCCATAAAAAAAAAATACAAAAACAAGAAAAGAAAAGAAAGGTGGTGGTGGTGGTGACTAGGATTTTGGATATGTCTTCCCAATATATACACTACTGCCCACGATCTTATCCTCTCCCCTTTCTTCCTAGTAATATGGGAGCACCCACAGAATTAAATACATTTATTAATTATAATAATCCTAATAAATAATAATAATAATAATAATAATAAGTTAAATAACAGAAGAAAATAGGAAACCCCTACCCAGCCATACACTTACTCAAAGAAGATGACGATGACAAATCACAACATCATATTTATATATATAAGATAAATATTTATGAATTTTCATTATTAAACAAAAGAAAATGAAATATTTGTCAATTTCATGACATATATAAATAAAAAGCATTATCCTTTGCTCCCAAACCCACCAAATATTTCTGTTTATGTGTCCCCTTTCTTCCATTCCATTCTGTGTATGCTCTCCAGGTGCATTCTTCCAAGCCTCTCATCACAAATTCCTACAAAGAAAATAATATCACAAGCAGAAAAAAAAATCTCTGTTTTCCCCCCTCTTCTGTATTCTCCTTGATTTCTTGTCAGAACAAATTCCAAAAAAACATGGGGGAAGTTGCAGGAAATCGCCATGATCAGGCTTTCTTGGGCGGGTTGAATTTGATGAAGGAGGAGAAGAAGAGATGGGCAATGGAGGAAGACAAATTCTTCTTCGAATCAAGATCTGTTCTTGG